GTCACCCACCATACTACTAACCGGCCGGCGTGTGGCTTAAGTACGGCTGAGCGGACGGGAAGCCCTGTTCTCCACACCCTATGGTCGTATGTACTGGATACTTCAATGAAGTGGGATATAACGGGTTCTTTCGAAATCGTCAACTGACACACGGTCGACCCAACCCTTCGAACTTTCACCTCGCAATGCCATGCGAAGTAACCCGTCAGCCTAATCCGGCTGGACCGAGCGAACGGAGTTACCAATTAAGACCGGTGGGTAATGATAGCAGGGTATATCAGGCTGGATTGAATAAAAGTAGAATGAGAGAGTATTTCAACTCTTGCTATTCCCACAACCGCCAGTTGAGTGTATAACGGCAAAATGCAGCTACCCGATTACCAGCCATATATCAATGGCTTGCTCAGACAGTTTGCCTTTAGTGAAGAGGGAGCTGTATTGCGCGTATTCTATGTGGCGTTGTCTGTGGTAGAACTGCCACAACCCCTTACGCGAGGAAAGTGCTGATATTGCCATAGATTGTGCTATCTGCCAGCACCAAGGTGATATACAATCTGCTGTTCCACAAACTTGCCGAATTTCCAGGGCCTCTGTTAGCCCGGTCAACGCTGGTAGGAAAGGAGCATGTGGAAACCAACTCAGGACGTTTGCTTATTGCATCCAGATATGGCGAATCTACTATTCCCTCGGCGGCCGGTTTCACGTTGCCATCCACGAACAACACCGCAAATATGGTGGGTCTTGTGCAGCATAACCGCTCAAATTCCATTGCTCACGGTATCCCCAGGCCCAGTAGTTCGGATTTCTCCTAACGAACTGTCTTTCGCATCGGTCGAGTCCTGGAAGGCTATCTACGGCCTCCAGCCACCTGGCACTCCTACGCCCATCAAATCCGAGTTCTACGACATATACGGCGCCGGATTCAGCTCGCTATGCATCGGCAGCGAGAGAAACCCCCAGAAACACAGCCAGATGCGCAAGATGCTCTCAGCGGCGTTTGCGACAAAAGCGCTAGTAGAACAGGAAGCTATATTTTCTGACGTGGTGGATCAATTTATCACTTCTATTGGGCAGGTAGGGGGTTCTGACTCGAAGGGTATCAACATGAGCAAGTGGTTTGAGATGGTGTCGTTTGATATTCTTGGTGAAATGGCTTTTGGAGAGTCTTTCCATTGCATTGATACCGGTTAGTCTGACTGTTTCCGTCTGAAGTAGTATTCGCTGATGTTGACAAGGCAAACCGCACTTCTGGTCTGAGCTTATCACCAGTCATTTGTACTTCATTACGCTAGTGGACAACTTGCGTCGATTCCCAATGGTTGTTGCCTTGACGAAGCTGCTATTCCCATCCACGCTTGCGGTGCGAAACAAGAACTCGGAGTATAGTCGCCAACAGGTCGCAAAGTATGTTCAAGCAGGAGACTTCTAGGATATCACTAATCCTTCACCAGGCGCCTAGAAAAAGATTCCAATCGAAAAGACTTCTTGTCCACAGTTGTCAAGAATTTCCGCGCGGGAAACGTCAGCAAAGAGGAGATGACCGCGCATGTGTCCACCCTGACGTAAGTTTTGCCATTGTACGAGAGAAGAACAAAAGAAATAACCGCGAGTAGCATCGCCGGAGGGGAGACGGTTTCGACCTGCCTTGCAGGAACTACATACTATCTGCTGAGGAATCCAGATTGTTTGGCGAAACTGCAGCGCGAAATCGTCGACCGGTTCACCTCCTGGGAAGAAATCAACGGAACAGCTGCACGACAACTCCCGTACCTGCAAGCTGTCATCAACGAAGGACTTCGAATGTACCCGCCGGGACCTCAGGGCTTCCCTCGTCTATCTCCGGGTATGAAAGTGGGCGACTATTGGGTCCCTGAAGGAGTGAGTCGTTTCTTCCCCGCTTGCACTATATGCTAACTAACGGCATTTGGCAAAGGCCGAGGTCTACACCAGCGCATATACAGTGACCCATGATGAGCAATACTTCGCGGAACCAATGAAGTTCAAGCCTGACAGATGGCTGGATTCACACTCTACAGATGTCAAGGAAGCTAGCCAGCCTTTCTCGCTGGGCACGCGGGGCTGCTTGGGGCAGAAGTAAGGACAACAAATTTTCAAGTGCTGGAACTCCGCTGACGAAGAAACAGTTTTGCGTATATGGAGTTGAACTTGATTCTGGCCAAGATGATCTGGAAATACGATTTGGAACTGGTCAACAAAGATTTGGACTGGGAGGGACAGAGCCATATGCATGTTATGTGGTGGAAGCCCAAGTTGATGGTTCGGTTTACGGAAAGGACCTGATGTTACATTCACTGCCTTAGTTATTCAAGGTCCAGGTTCAATATAGTCTTATCTGGTTCGTGGATTGATTCTCGGCCCGCCCCGAAAGGGAAAATGCCGATCCCTGTAAAGTACGTGGGGCGCGAAGTTGTCCTTTGATCTCATGGGCATTAGGTTTGCAGCAAGAGAGATCTTTGCTTGTCCCCGATTCACCCACTATGAGTGTCGAATTGGGAGAAGATGGGCCCAAGTTAGCGAAAAGGCTACAGGATGATGAACAACAAATCCTCACGCAGCAAATCGCTGGCGCGACCAGCTACTTGAGCTCGACGCGTTTTGTGTGGAGCTGCACCAGTTCGTGGGATGGCATCATTCTTATTATCAGTGCCTTGGCGGCAATTGTGGGAGGAGCCGTAACTCCTGCGGCGATGGTTTGTACAATGTTGATGGCTTTCTTGATTCTTCAAACAGCTAACTTCTATTTGATTGCGTAGATCCTCGTCGGCCAAATGGGCCAGTCCTTTCGCGGGTACTTCATCGGAGAAACAGACGGCTCTGCCTTCCAGGCGCAGGTTATTAGAACCACCCTGCTGTACGTCTACCTAGCCGTGGCCGAGTTTTTCGCCATCTACATCGCAACAGTGGGATTTACCATGTCCGGAGAACACATCGCGCAGCGCATCCGGGAACGCTACCTTGCAGCCGTTCTTCGCCAGAATATCGCATATTTCGAAGGCATAGGGGTCGGTGAAATCGCAAACTGCATCACCGCTGATACAAACCTGATACAGGACGCCATCACTGGGAAAGCGTCCCTCACCCTGTCGGCCATTGGGTCGTTTGTGGCGGCCTTTATCATCAGCTTTGTGCAGAGCTGGCGTCTCGCGCTTGTGCTACTCCCGGCGATTGTCGCGATAGTTGGCTCCATGAGTATCGGCGCGTCCTTTATGGTCAAGTACACTATACGCAGCCTCGGATCGTACAGCCAGGGCGCTAGCATCGCCGAGGAAGCCATCAGTTCGATTGAGACCGTGGCGGCGTGCGGGATGCAAGAAACGCTGGTTCAGCGGTACGACCAGCATCTGATCACGGCTCGCAAGGCAGGCTTGAAATCCGGAATTTCGCTCGCCATCATGATCGCCGTCATGAACGCCGCTATTTTCTGGTCGTATGGCCTGGCGTTTTGGCAGGGCTCTCGTTTTCTGGTAGTAGACCAGGTCAATTTGGCGAATATTCTAACGATTCTGTATGCAACCATCAACGGCGCATTTGCCTTGGGGAACGTGGCTCCTTATGCGCAGGCTTTTGTCAGTGGAGTGGCGGCCACTCAAAAGATCTCGCAGACTGTTTCGCGGCAGTGCAAGCTGATTGATCCCAGCGTGTCCACGGGCGAGAGACCATCGGAAACAATCGGGCGCATTGAGCTGCGGAATGTCAAGCATGTGTATCCCTCAAGGCCCGAGCTGACGGTGTTGCATGGACTGGACCTCATCTTTGCAGAGGGAAAGATGACGGCTATTGTTGGACCATCAGGCTGTGGCAAGAGCACCATTGTCGGACTGCTCGAACGATTTTACGGACCGGTTGGGGGTGACATTGGTAAGTGGGCTTAGCGACTTCATAATCACGAAGACATGGCTGACCGGTTAAGTGCTTGACGGGCGAGACATCGCGACGTTGAATCTCACATGGCTGCGGCAGCAGATTGGGCTCGTTAGCCAGGAACCAACCCTTTTTTCGACAACCATCTTCGAAAACATCCGATATGGCCTTATCGGCACGAGTGTTGAGGACGCTCCCAACCAGGAGATCGAAGAGCTGGTCATCAGCGCCGCGAGAACAGCCAATGCATATGAATTCATCACAGCACTTCCCGACGGGTTTCAGACGCACGTGGGAGACCGTGGATCGCTGCTGTCCGGTGGCCAGAAACAACGCATTGCCATTGCGCGCGCAATTATCAAGAACCCTAAAATCCTTCTCCTCGACGAAGCGACCTCGGCGCTGGACGTCAAGTCCGAACGGCTGGTGCAAAAGGGGCTGGATAATGCGGCTAAGGGACGGACAACAATTGTGATAGCACACCGGTCTGACCTAACTCTCCCTCGTATGGATGTATCTCGCCTGACGTGGAATATCTAGGTTGTCGACCATCACGGCCGCCGATAACATCGTGGTCATGTCCGAGGGGCAGATTGTCGAGCAGGGAACGCACAACGGGCTCCTTGAGAAACGATCTATTTACTACGATCTGATCGAGAAGCAGCGCATCCACGCTGAAAAGCAGAATGCATTGATAGCAGTCGAAGAGCCGGTCACAGCAGTCTCGGAGAAACATCCCATTATTACAGACCAAGTCAAACAAGGGAAAGAAAAACAGTCGGACGAGTCTACCTCCTCAACAGAATGGAAAGAAAGTGAATACTCGACATGGAAACTGGTTCGCTTTGTCGCTGGCTTGAACAGAGGCCAAACAATTCCTATGCTTGGTGGTCTGTTGTTCTCCATCATTGCCGGCGCTGCACATCCGACGTGAGTCGTATGCGATGTATTCTACTTTGACCGATTGTTAATCATATGCCAGTCAGTCAGTTTTCTTCGCCAAAATGGTCTCGTCACTCTCCCGAACATCATCCAACTACGATGCTCTTCGTCGGGACGTCAACTACTGGAGCTGGATGTATCTCATGATCGGGTTTACCACGTTGATCGGCTGGTTAGGGCAAGGAGTGTGCTTCGCGTACTACTCGCAGAGTCTCACCCATCGGGCGCGAAGACAGACATTGGAAACAATTCTGCATCAGGATATCGGCCTTTTTTCCAGCCCGCAATACTCATCCGGGATGTTGACTGCGACGTTGTCAACCAGTGCATCCAATCTGGCCGGCATGAGCGGCGTGACTTTGGGAACCGCCTTCGTTATTCTTACAACGCTGATTGCCGGATTTGTACTGTCTGCTGCGATCGGTTGGAAGCTGGCACTCGTGTGTGCGTGTATGATCCCCATCCAGCTGGGTTGTGGACTACTCCGGCTCAAAGCCCTGGCCATTCTCGAGAGCAAGTCGCGCAAGGCGTATGAGGCATCGGCAACGTACGCCTGCGAGGCGAGTGCCGCCATCCGGACCGTGGCGTCTCTGACGCTGGAACAGCATATTCAAAAAACCTATCATGGCATTCTTTCCGCCTCCCGTCGGAGCTCTCTGCTTTCCATTACTCAGTCCTCCGTTCTCTACGCCGCATCCCAATCGTTCAACTTCCTGTGCTCAGCGCTAGCCTTTTGGTACGGTAGCCGGTTAGTTATGACGGACCATTACAGCATGTTCCAGTTCTTTGTCTGCTACACGGCTATTATTGCGGGGTCGTACTCGGCCGGGGCGATTTTCGCGTTTGCGCCTGACATGGGCAAGGCAAAGAGTGCCGCAAGAGATATCAAGAATCTTATGGATCGTCCGGTTTCCATCGATTCGCGTCGATCACGAGACGGGATGCGACGTTCGGTAGTCGAGGGGCACATTCAGTTGGAGCATGTAACGTTCAGCTACCCAACACGCAGCGATCGAACCGCCCTGGAAGAGGTCAATCTTACCGTGGAGCCGGGGCAGTACGTTGCCCTGGTTGGATCCAGTGGCAGTGGAAAGAGCACCATTGTTTCATTATTGGAGCGATTCTTCGACCCCTCTTCCGGAAGGGTCCTCGTCGACCATCAAGATATCAAGTCTTGGAGTGTGAAGGACTATCGCAGCCATATATCGCTCGTCAGTCAGACACCGACGCTGTATGATGGGAATATTCGCGACAACATCCTGCTTGGGATGGGCGGTGATGCAGAAACAATATCGGAGGATGCCATCTGTCGGGTGTGCAAAGAGGCCAACATCTACGATTTTGTCTCTTCTCTTCCGTATATTCACCCCCCACTCACATCTTATATATTATCACTAATTTTAACTATAGAGATGGATTCGAGACCATCGTCGGTGCACGGGGAACCATGTTGTCAGGCGGACAGAAACAGCGCATTGCAATAGCCCGAGCGTTACTGCGAAATCCACGCGTTTTGCTTCTAGACGAAGCAACATCTGCCCTTGACTCTGAGTCAGAAAAGGTGGTCCAGGTTGCCCTCGACGCAGCGTCTCGTGGTCGGACGACAGTTGCTGTTGCCCATCGGATCAGCACGGTGCAGAATGCTGACTGTATATATGGTGCGTTTGCCTGGCCAGTCTAGTGCTATTATTACTAACCAATGCCCAGTTCTCGAGAGTGGACGAATTGTGGAACAGGGAAACCACCAGACTTTGATGGCGTTGAAGGGCCGGTATTACGAGCTGGTCAAGCTGCAGAGTGTCGAGTGATTAAATAATTCAGTTCCATGTCCATCTTGTTCTTAAACACGCCTGAAGTAAGAGTTCCATAGAGAGACCGCCCCACGGTGCACTAAATCAAGTGCCGTAGTCTTGTCGGTATACGAAAAGCCGCGAATGCGGGCGATCCATTTATTGGAGCCAGTGCGATGTTGTAGGATGGTCTCATAGAGCGCGTGCACGTATGCTGGACGACCTATGGAATACTTTCTAGCCTGGTCACTGTTGTATGACCGGAAGGTGGAGTCGGATACTTGGTCTTGGACCTAGGTCATGATAGAGTCAGGGGTTATATGAACAGTGATAGTGAATGGACTATGTTTATATTTGGGTGAGGGTGAGTTATCGAAACACGCCTATTATTCAGATTGAGTGATTCGGGATTACCTCAACGGGAAGAATCCGATGCAACATATAACACGGTAAAAGCCTCCATAATTCCATCCTAGTTGCATTAATCTACAGTACTGTAAACCATCATTCCTAGGCTATCATGACGGTGCCAGCAAACGACCAAGTCCCGGCCCCTGGCCCCAGCGTGCTGGACCTGATCGATGCCCAGGCCGAGCGAAATCCAGAGGGTATCGCAGCGGAATTCCAACACAAGTCGATCACAAACCGCCAACTGCGACAGGCCTCGATGCGCGTGGCGATCGAACTTTATGCACGAGGATGCAGACCCCATGACCGCATCCCGCTGCTCACTTCCATGGGATTGGAGATGGTGATTGCTGTGCTAGGAATTCTTCGGTTGGGCGCCTGTTATTGCCCGATGGACTTCGCAGCGTGGAGCGAATCGCGCGTCCGGGCGACTCTTGAGGCAGTACAGTCGCGACTTGTGCTTGGCACTGTCGAGACAGAGGTACCTGGGTATGAAATCGTGCAAATTGGTGACCTGCTTGGGGAGAGCGAGGCTGCGGATCTTTCCTCGAAAGGGCTGCAGCTCCTCGAGACGATCCGACAAGAAATGAGCCTGTCCGACCTCATTTACATCATTTTCACGTCTGGGACGACGGGAAAGCCCAAGGGCGTAATGATTCCTCATGGGAGTGCCGCACATCTGGTTGTGCAGGACTTTCCAGGCTCAATGACCGTTTATCCCGGATCTAGAGTGCTGTTGTTTTTCTCCGTGGCCTTTGACGGTATGTGTATCCTTCGATTACCGTTGGGACTTTGCCGGTCGAAAAGAACCTTTACAGTTTCATACGATCTCGGAATATTCTGACATGCTCAGGCTGCGCTGGTATTGTCTTTTCGACCTTGTGCCACGGAGGCACGCTGGCCATGGCGTCGCCATCGGATGTCCTAGACGTGGCGCCATCATGCACCACTCTCGTTATGACACCATCTATGCTTGCCAATGTGGCATCCTCGGCCCAGTTTGACCAGGTTCGCGAGATCTACATGGGCGGAGAGGCACCCACCGCTGCGTTGATCGAGGAATGGACCACCCCGACTCGAAAGGTGTACAACTCCTACGGGCCAACCGAATGCACAACTGCGGTGTCAGTGGCCGAGATGAAGCCCGGCAGACCAATCGTTCTGGGGAACCTAGTCTCCGGAGTCGAAATGATACTTCTGGACGAGAATTTGGAGCACGAAGCGGATGCAGGGGAGATTTGTATTCGTGGGCCCTGTCTCGCCGTGGGATATCTCAACAACGAGACGCTTACAGCGGAGCGATTCTTCATGCGGAATGGCATTCGACATTATCGAACAGGGGACCTTGCACGCCGATCAGAAGCCGGTCTGCACTTTGTGGCTCGAACTGACCGGCTGGTCAAGAATCGCGGGTTTCTTATCAATCTGGAGACCGAGGTTGAGCCAGCCCTCCTCAGTTTTCCCAGTGTGAGACGCGCATCAGCCTTTCTTAGTCGCGGAAGGTTGATTGGGTTTGTGACTCCAGAGAATGTATCCATCGCTGCATTTCACGAGCACCTCGTGAATCATTACGATGCGTTCCTGGTGCCAGACCTGCTGTTTGCCGTGTCTAAATTTCCCCTTACGTCAAACGGAAAAGTCGACACGAAGGCCCTGGGAGAAAGGGTTGTGTTCGAAGCAGAAACAGAAGATGAGTGCGTTTTGGCTACCTCATCTGATACTATGGATCTGGTCAAGGAGGGTTTTGCCTGGGTGTTTGACTGGCCAATTCATAACATCCGCCCGACTACGTCCTTTGCCGACCTCGGGGGCAATTCTCTGCGGGCGTTGAAACTGGTGTCGTTTTTGCGTCGACACGGCCTGAATGTGTCAATTGGGGAGGTCTTTACCTTAGATCGTGTGTCGGCCATTGACAGCGCAGTTGTGCCATTCCAGACAGATGTCGCTAATGCGCCATCTGAGCCTTCCGAGCTATTCTCGGCGCCACTAACCGGCCACCAGATCGAAATGCTGAAGGAAACGGCCGAGGTGCCCTCTACTAATTACTTGTTCTATACTATGACTCGAGACTGTGGAGAGGAGCTGACTCCGAGTCGTTTGCGGCACGCGTGGGAAGCATTGTACCAACGACACCCCATTCTTCGCGCGACGTTCGATCTGGACCAAAAAAGACAGACAATCCAGCCCACTGTAGACTTTGAATGGGAGGAATTTGCCGTTTCCAGCTCAGATGAGCTGGCTGCAGTCTCAGACGGAGAACTCCAGAAGCTCTGGGGAGAACTGCGCTCACCCAGTTCGGAACTACGTCTACGGCCGATATTCCGCATTGTCTACCTGCCCGAACAGACGATTCGGATGAACTGGATTATCCATCATGTCTATACTGATGGATGGTCATTTGGAATTATTCTACATGATTTCGAACTCATCCTACAAGGGAGAGAGAGGGAACTCACGCCTGCGCCGAGCTTCGTCAGCATCGCCCACTTTTTGGCTACAACGGCATCGTGCGAACGATCTCGAATCCAGTCATTTTGGTCCGATTTCAGCCAGCCGTGGGTTAAAATACAGCCCCTCAAATTACCAGCACCACCTGTCAATCCATCACGGGAGTCGTGGGCCGAAATCAGGGTCGATTCTAGGGTGAAAAAGACCGCGCTAGACGAGGTGTCTCGACTGAACGGCGTATCCTGCGCGTCAGTCATCTATGCCGCCTGGGCGCTGATGCTCTCCCGATACACAGAATCCAGCACAGTCGGCATGAAGATCAGCGTATCCGGACGATCCCTGGATCATCCAGCCACCGAAAGCGTCGTGGGACCACTCAACGGCCGATGTCCATTTATCACTGAGATTGAGACAAGCGACACGGTGTCTGGCTTTCTGCAGTCCGTTCACCGGGACTTCTACCGCGTCAACGATCTGCAATGGTCATATGACGAATTGCGACGACAAGTTGCGCAATCTGAACATAAAGACTATTGGTTCGATACACAGGTCGTTGTATTGTTGGATATCCCGGTCGATGTGGGAGCGTGGAAAATTATCGAGTTGCAGAGGCCGTCGTCGCTCATTTGGATCGGGGTGGCTCAGAAGGGGGAGACGTTGAATTTGCGTGTGGGATACGAGGGGAGTGGGGAGGGGGTAGGGGAGGGGGTAGGGGAGGGGGTAGGGGAGATGACGGAGTACTTTATAAGGATGCTGCGTGGGATTGTAGAGACATCGTCATCTCGAGTGATTGGAGACCTTACGGCTTAATGGGGATAAAAGGGAAGGGCTAGTAAGATACTTCCAGTCTAGCCCTGAATGGATAAACCCGAGCGCGGCTCCAGTTGGATAGCTCACACAACTATATAACTCGCCTGCACCGGACCTCCATTCACCACATGGTTTCCTGACAGACCAAAAATGCCAAGATGAGTGCAGATGGTATTCTAGCGACTGTGTGTAATCATCCTTGGGCGACATGCGGCATTGTCTTCGGCCTATATCTGTCCGCTCTGGCAATCTACCGTTTACTTCTGCACCCATTATCCAGCTACCCCGGTCCGAGGATCGCAGCCCTAACAGTATGGTACGAGTTCTACTACGACTGTATTCTGCGCGGCAAATACACCTTTGAGATCCAGCGTATGCACGAGAAATACGGGCCAATCGTACGAATTAGTCCACACGAGCTGCACGTCAACGACCCATCCTTCATCGATGAACTGTATGCAGGCGGGGGCAAGAAACGCGACAAATACCCCTTTTTCACAGTGCAAACATGCATCCCGGATAGCGTCTTTGGTACACCGGGCCATGACCTCCATCGACTGCGACGCGGGGCGATGAACCGATTCTTCTCCAAGGCATCCGTGACAAAGCTAGAGCCGATGATACGCAAGGCTGTAGAGAAGTTGTGTGCGCAGTTAGAAGGCCATGCCGGGTCGGGAAACCCGATCAAGATGAACGATGCTTTTAGCTGTATGACTACGGACGTGGTGACGGAGTATGCGTTCGCGAAAAGCTACAATTTTCTGGACTCGCCTACGTTCCAGCCGAACTTCCACCGCGCCATCATTGCGGGCAGCGACATGGGGCCGTGGATTAAACAATTCCCGGTATTAATGCCCCTGATGAACATACTACCCAACTGGCTAGTCATGAAAGTCAACCCCGAGGCGGCGATCTTTTTGCAGTTCCAGGAAGATATCCGCCGACAGATCCGCGAGGTGCAAGTCAACATTGCAGAAGGAAAGACGCAGAGCGCGTCCACCAAGACGATATTTCACGAACTTCTCACGGGAGACCTTCCGACGCAGGAGAAACGGATCGAGCGATTGGGGCAAGAGGGCCAGATTGTGGTTGGTGCTGGCACGGAAACCACCGCGTGGACGCTGTCCGCCATCGCCTTCTATCTACTCGATAACCCGACCGTCATGGCCCGACTGCAGGTGGAACTGAAGCATGCTATTCCGGACAAGGATAACGCTTCCGACCAAATCACCTGGAACCAACTGGAGCAGCTACCGTACCTGAGCGCCGTGATCACTGAGGGACTCCGACTGTCCTACGGGGTGAGTACACGACTACAACGCATCAATCCGCTGGGACCATTACACTTCAGGGCTCGCAGTGGTAAGGATGATGCGACGGGTAAAGAGCGCTGGGTGGAGTATGCGATACCGCAGGGAACGCCGGTTGGCATGACAGCGACGCTCATTCACACGAATCCCGAGCTGTTTCCGGATCCGTACGTCTTCAGGCCCGAGCGATGGTTGGACGAGCAGGGGAAACGCCATCATGATCTGGATGGGTATATATTGTCTTTTTCTCGTGGAAGTCGACAGTGCATCGGGATCAAGTAAGCTTTCATTCACGGTTCGTACTCGGCTTTCGCATAGCTAATAATTGTTTAGTCTCGCGTATGCAGAACTATACATGTGCATCGGGTTATTGGTACGACGGCTCGGATCTCGCATGGAACTGTTCGAAACCACCTTGGAAGATGTCGAGATCCACTTTGACAGATTTGTTCCGACGCCGAAGGACGGGACACAGGGAATACGGGTGTTGGTTCGTGCCGAAGAATAGTTTGTTGCAGAGTACCGGATGAAGCCCTAGATCGGAAATCGCCGAGTGGGGTAATGCGGTCACATCCGAGGATCACTTGGGATAGGATAATCACAGATATATAGTAGTGCTTGAGAGATTTCAAGACAAGGTCAAAAACATTGCTAATATATGAATCATCAAGCTACAGAACGATTGTGCGAATACTTGCAAAACATGAAGAGTCGAAAAGTAATCCATGTAGGAAAGCCATTTCCAGGCAGCTAACGTCGGTTGATTGCATGTCTCACAATTGCACACTAGAAAGTCTAGATGCCAGTTAGTGTGATATCCCCTTTGGCATGACCAACTGGGGGGAACCCCGGGGGAATTTTGCAACCAATCAGGCGTATGCTCTATCTCAGCCACTGCACCAAAATCCCAAATAGGCATTTGGTCAGATTTGGTATGACTGATATCCAACAGTTAATATATACAATCACTTGACACGTGCAGAAATTTTCCTATTAGAGGTATTGCCATACTCGTCGAAACCATATTGGAAAGAGCAAGTGTTAGTCTAGCTGAGTGACGCGGTTATCCAGTTACATGGTGTGCTTGCCTGGCATAATCAACCGAATAAGCTAGAATTTCTACACCCATAACCGGGCAAAGATTATGGTTACCAGGTGGCTATAATATCTCAAGGGTACACTGTAAAGTCCCAGACGCTGTCACAATATTATACATAGTATTTGAATGGAAGAGACACTGCTAATCCAGAAAAGATTATTATTCCTCCCCGCACTTAATATAAAACCAGATACCCCTCTGACATAGCCACGTTTTGACAGAGGCAGGATTCAAACTTACTACTCCTGGTTATAGCTCTAGGTCAAAGGCCCCTGGCACCAACCAGAGATAACAAATCTTCCATCGGTTCATAGGTTTTATCCTATCTAATATTACAATGTAACGATGTAGGTTTGACAATCTTTTATTTATCTGTATACATATACATTACCAAGGAGCAAAGAAGGGTTTGATCAATAGCATATATACCCCTCTTTATCTCGGACTGATATAACATCGTCAATAAGCAAGTGGGTGATGTCCACGAGCAGGTGAATGTAGCCAGCATAGTAAATGATAAGGCCTAGTCAATCTGATGTTGGGATATCAGTCACGTCAAGCCCTGTATTAAATACTTATTAACATTTTGATGTAGCGGTCATTATCTGATGTTTGAAAGTCAATGAATCAAGGACTAAAACTCTGGAGCGTGGTTCATTTGGCTATTTGTATGATATTAGTTAGAAGCAATATAGACAGCATAGACTGCTTGAAATGGGGATCAAAGAATCGTTTCACTACGTACTAAAAAAAGACACAGCAGTAGTGTTAGATCCATATAGATATCCTGAATATCCTGTTCTAGCCTTCCGATACCAGTGGCCCCCACAGGGCCCACACAGGGTCTAGCGGAGGAGGCCGCCGCAGTGGCGCCCAGATGAATTTAGATATATAGGTTAAATTAAGAGATGGAAACAATGACTAGTATCCACAGTCTTATCCCACTGCGAGTACCCCTGTAGCCCCCGAGATACGTTCGCTGCCACGGCGCCGCTGGTGCTAGCCTTCGCTTATTCTCGCCCTTGAGGCCGCCCCCCCTCCTCCAACCCCCTGATCCCCATTGTGGCCCCCGCATCGCCAGTTCTCTTCACCCAGGCTGCCTAACCTACCCCTCACCGCGCAGGCCCCTCTAATTTGTGCCTTCGTGGTTTTTGTCGACGCCTACAGGGAAATGATCCTGCCATGGGTGATGCGACCTTCGATGTGTTATCTATCCCGGCTGCTAGATCAAACAATTCCACAAAACCTCATTAATCGGCTCGATATCCCCCAAATTACGCTGCGATGCAGTTAAACTTCTTAGAAAGCTATTGTAGTTGAGACGTGGACCTTGAAAAGATCCCGTCTACTCTGAAATTTGTGTTGACCCACTGGCTTCTATGACCCACCGCTTACTATGTTACATTCCGACCTTCAGATGACTGGAAAGATAGTTCCTAGTTTCCCTCAGGCGGCTGTGGCAGGATCAAGCTCCCTGTCCGTCACCAATCCAATGTTGCAATTATGTAAAGGCAGTGCTGGCATTTCTGCCAAAGATGATAGGCGTGATAAGGCTATAGGATTGGATCTGCTCTAAGTGTCGGAGTCCCACGGCATCCTTCAGATAGTCTACAGTCGTGTCAGCAGCAATATATTCCCCACACATTCCCAATACAGCACCGTTAGACCCCCAAGTTTGTGGTTAATCTTGCGTCGATCATCTGCATCTGAGGCATAGAATCATCCATGTTTATGACTCTCCGCTACTGTCGCGACGATGGCGATGGGATCCGATACTTAGAGCCGACAGACCGGCCGCTTCGCTCGGGCGATAATATCTCTCATACAGCTTGCGCCTCGTGTCGCAGCAAAAAGGTATGTTTTCTACATCCTCTTTGATATTTGTATTTTATTTGCATTATTGTTTTAGTTTTGGTTTTGCGGATCTGGGAAGCTCACTAGTCATTGATCAATAGTTGGGATGCAATCGCGATCTATCGGGATGCCGTCGATGTCGCAGCCGAGGTATCAAATGCGTGTATCCCGAGAGGGTACGACGGAAACACCAGTCGCAGCATTCAGACTCCAGCTCCAATTCAACACACGAATCAGTGCCTCCACCACTACCGCCCATCTTTAACGAGGTGGAGTTTGGGGACGCGCCTGCCGTCTCACGGCCCACAGGACATCCCCAAATTCGTCGCCCTTCTTCTGCGGACAAGGAGATCCCACAGAACCAGCGAATACCGTCCAATGAGTCCGCGAAAAATCAGAATAAAGCTCCTACGGTCAATCAGAACTCAGACAACGACTTGTCGACGATTGATAACCCAGACTCGACAGAGGTGCCGTCAGACGAATACCCCTCGACGATCAGCGATGATTATTTCTCGCAACTCCTGGAACCGTTCGGCACTGCCCATGAAATCACAGAGCAGAATCACGGCCCGGGTATGCCTCTTGTCTCGCATGCACTGCTGACGGCCCCTAAACTAATATGGAGTGAATTTCTAGGGAAATTACCACTGGCCTTCGATGAGCTGGAACGTGAATCCTCCTTCTTGACATCGTCGATAGACCTACAGCCCTTGATCGCCCACCCATCTCCGAAAGAGCTATTCGCGACATCGGCCTCTCTATCTGGCTCCAGCTCGTCAGCCTCTCAGCACATGGATCTCGCCAGTGAGGACGACTGCGAGTGTACATCCTCAGCGCTGAAGATCCTCGAGACGGTCGCCGCGCCATTAAAAGACACAGACTGGAACACAGTGGAACGCAAGCTCTGTTTCCTGAAACAAATACTAACCCGGTGCATCGCCCTTTCGCGATGCAGTAGCTGCGCCCAAGACTCGGGGTTCACAATGCTGGTCCTGGTCCTGTACGACAAAATCACCACCACCATTGAAGAAGCGGCACAGTGGTGGAAACGACATCTCGACACGCCGACTCGGCTTGCGAGACAGGAGGCCGAGCGAGCGATGCACTATGACTCGAGAGAGGCTGTCCCGTGGGAAGGAGGATCGGCGCAGCAGCCCCACATGGCTCTCGGGCGGTATCCGATCGACACTATGGAAGAGCACTGCAAGGTTCTGGCAACCTTGATTCTGTTGCAGCTTCATCGGCTGGTTTCGTTGCTGTCGGCCGCGAGGCAGAGGATCACCAGTTCGAAGTGGGAGGGCCATTTGGCGCTGCTTACAATATTACGTCAACGAACGAAAGCTGTGCAAGTTATCTTGAACGGCTAAAATATGTAACATTGTTTATTGACGGTAGATATCTATTAATTATAACCATTGAGTTATACTATTCTAGTCTGTACATATTATTTGCATGGCCTCAAACTACTTTATGCCATTAACTGGTTCTTATTGATTTCCCTCCTACCATTATTCACACATCCAATCATCACTACTCCTAGTGCGTGACCCTACTTTTGGTATGGGATCCAGGATATCACATAGCAATCTAGCTACGGAGACGCCTTATATAGTAGTGCAGCTGGGATTAGGCAGAGGCCACACCTAACGGATCCACAGTCTTCGCTTTCATGAAGAACTGGTCATTATATAGTCTACAGAAGAACCAACCTTACTTGGTAGACTGGGCCTAGGACCCAGCAAAAAATCTCATCCGACCACTGGTTTGGGCTCCATGTCTCCCACCTCTCTGGGACGAATATGCTCGAGTTGGGGTGCCCTTCTATATAGAGATCCTTGCGCTGATGAAGGCCCCACGCCGAATAAAGTATCACGTCGCGTTTGAGGACGCCGATCGGGTGAAGCTGCGAGCGGCTCGGGGGGGGGGGGGGGGGGGGGGGGGGGGGGGGGGGGAGGGGGTATCGGCCAATGCGTCCCGTGCATTGAAGGACATGGATGGGTAGAGGCATAGCGCCTCGTTGACGCAATTCTGGGAATACGGGACATGTTTGGGGTCGTTGAGAGTGGAGGGCTGTGTTGGGCCGATGTGGAAATGACTTTGGCGCGAAGACGGGCATAGCTCGTGGGAATGTTTGATAGCGCGTAGCATAGCCAGGTCATTGTTGCGGCGGTTGACAGTTGGGCAGCGAATAGAACCTCGACAATCGGATCGCGTAGCACTTTTGTATCTTGTGTAGTCTCCACAAGGTGATAGAAAGCTCCACGACTGCTTGAGATCATCTGAAGTGGCAGACGTGGCACGGTCTACATATTATCGCGACGAGATCATGCAGTCTCGCAATCTTTCGGTCGAGGCCTCAGCGGGGATATAACCCAGTGGCTGGGGCTATTATAATTGTACTCATGGTTAGCAAATACGTTACAGTGACAGGTTTAGTGTCACGGGTCACCCTAGAAGAGTCAGAGACATCTGCTCATGGAAACCTGCAATAAAGCATCCTTAATCGCTATCATGGACTCTACTAAATCTGCCAAGCCATGACCAAGTAGTGATCTTGTAGAACTATCTAAAGAATGTCGAGGAAACGCGTTCAATACTTCGACTGGCTCACCACTCTGTATACAACCCATCATCGCCTCTGTGCTAGCCCGTTGTGCTGCGAGATCGCGGGTACGCTGTTTCGACAGCAAACCCCGCCACCACTGGCGGCTTTCCTCATAATCCGGTCTATCCGTAGAAAAAACGCCGTTTCCCATAAAAGACTTCCAGGCCTCATGGAAGGCCAGGTCCTTGCCGTGGTTCTTGTAATGAGTGTATATAGTTCAACACAATGCGTGTGCATCTTGTTTGCATGCCTGAAAATAGGAGGATAAAGAAGGAAGCCGTCTTGGTAGTATATTGCCTTGAAGTAATCCAAAACTATGCGTAAGCGCTCTGCGATGGATACATGCTTGAATAGTCGGCCGCCGAGTTTGGCTACTTTCCCGTTGTAGTGGGCGATTCACAACTAACGGACTGCAAGAAGGCATAGGACCCCTAATACCGATAAACTTGCCAGAAGAAGCAGGGGCATAGTTGAAGACTCAACTTTGGGGTTGTCTTTCACGTAGAAGGTTGCTTGAAATTCTGATGGGTGGAACAATTAAGGAAGGCTGACATGTTTCTGCCAGGATTGTGCAAAGCATGCAAACTTTGAGGTATCCAGAGTACAATGTTGGGAGATTATGCCACCGGTGTAGAAAACCCGTGTCAGGATGGCTGATATGATATCTAAAAAAGGAGTGTAGTCATATAACGCACCAATGGAGGAGGGATAGAACTAATATTACCCTTGCTTACTTAGTGTCTGCCATGTTCAAACCAGATAGTACCTATAATACAGTTCTATCAGGTGAATCTACACTGGAAACGCATATATTCCTGTCAGAACCCTGGCTCATACATGACATCTATTCGAACTATTCTCCCTATCATTGTCACAACAATGATAATCAGCGCTGCACTGTTTCCCTTCCTCACACTCGCGATAATAGGCGTGTTATTCGCCGTCCAAAACTTTCACGCGGCATTGTTACTGGTATTCACGAATCCAGGGTCGAGATCTCGGGTGCTGGGCACGGGATCGCTCTGTTACTTTTGCTGGAAGTCCTACGGGTTTATACATCATAATTTCCCTCTACTGCCTCTGAAGGCTACCTTGGAACCTGGAATAATTATTCACTGTCTCAATAGCATTCGTATGCTTTTTTTGGTAGGCAAGGGGCCCGTAGCCCAGTGCCGGGCGAGCAGCACCAACCAGCTACGGCAACTGGCAACGGCGTTCATGTTAATGGGCTCTCTCCGAGGCATCAACACACCATGGCAGATCAGGATTGTGCCATCATTCCCCAGTTGCTATAGCCATCCCACAAGGGTACTCACCAGGAAACGATTTCTAGTGCGCCAAGTACTCATCACTGCGTGGCTGGTTTTCATGACCCATGCCATGATGCAACGGTATTGTAGCTATTCGACCCGTGAGAGGCAATATATATATGGCGAAGGCGCTGAGTGGCGTTTTCGAGAGGCCACTCCTCGACAATTGGCCGCCAGGCTGGAAGGGGCAGTTGGCTACCTGGCCTATGCTCAGGGGAAAATAGACTCCATGTATCGCATCCTGTCAATTATACACGTTGGGTTTGGATTGTCCAATCCAGAGGATTGGCCGCCTTTGTTCGGGAGTATCTGGGATGCGTACTCAATTGGACGTTTTTGGGGGTAAGTGATGCTGCGTTCATGGTTCCTGGCCTCGGAGTTGATTGTTTGCATAGTATATATTGGCACCAATTGTTGCGTGGAATTTGTGCGTCATTTGCGCAACAGTCGACTCGCTGTCTTGAGAGCATCCTGGGGCCTCGCAAAGGTATTCCTGCTGTCTCTAAGATAGCGGCCTTTGCTCTGTCTGGGACTCTCCACGCCCCTATTGGCTTGACCGCATCGCTAAACAAGGGCAATGTGTGGTCAATTATTATCCCCTTCATTCTGTTCGGCGTGGCTGTGGCTGTGGAGACTATGGTATTTTCCGTGGTCGCCTCCTACTGGTCCAGCAAAACAATAATAATTGGCCCCATGCTCAGAGTTGGAGGGTATATTTGGGTCCTCTGTTCCTGGTGTGTCATATGTGGGTGGTGGTTAGCTCCGATTTTACGCTATATGGACGCTCAAGCTGTGGATTACGAAGTGTTGTGTCTAACCAAAGCCCTAGGAGGATGGGGGACGGGCGCGTTGCTTGCATTGGGGATGTTGATTGGGAAGATTTTCCTTGGGACCAGCGTATAGACACTGTCGCCATAGAGTCAGGGTTTAATACCAACATCCAGCTAATATCGCTACTATGCTTTTCATTATAGCGTATTTCGCACCAAAATTTGAAAAAGGGAAAAGTGAAAAGAAAAGGCAAAGAAAACGAAATGAAAAAAGAAAGAAAGAAAGAAAGAAAGAAAGAAAGAAATTAGCTAGCTGTATAACGCAGTACATCCAGTGGGAACAGAATTTGGATCGGCAGATATATTGCTCCATACATATCACACTGCAAGGGGTTTGTTTTATCGTTCCACTTCCAAACCTACAGGGGCAGTGACCAGCTATTTACGTGTAGTTTGGAATCAAATTCCACCATATCATGCCGCAGGGATGCCGACCCCTGGCCTCCCTGATTCTGTCAAGGCCATACAAAAGCCCGCTGTCGGTCGCTCGTCTCAGCGGGCAAGCTACTTGACGCATCGTGACGTGGGCTAGCATCTTACCACATGGATCATGCGCGTTCTCGGCTTGATTACGCTCTTTCTGATCACCGTGTATGCTGGGACATACACAGTAGACCACGGATTCTCCGACGTCCAGACTCTAACCGACCACGTCCGCGATGTGAACTCCAAACTTGATAGATTCAATGGCGGTCTCCTACAAGGACTGGATCTGGTGAACACCATACACAAGGCGCATAATCACGCTTCAACTACCCGCAGAAGCATCAAAGCTCTGGGCAACTTCACCGCCGACGACAGCGATAGAGGATTTCCCCATGTCCAAGATCTAATTCAAATGATGGCGGTAACATTTGAAACGAGTCAGGCCAAGGTACGTGCACATAGAATCCAAGGATAGGGACTGTTCTCACACATTCCAGAGGGAGGTTACCCACAAGGGAGCGTTTTCCTACATCGCGCAGGGCATGGCGTTGAGCATGTACCAGGAGAAGAATCGACTTGAGGAGGTTCTGAGGAGCAAGGCGCCCGATGAGTACTACCAGAAGTGCGCGTCTGACTTGGAAAAGTTGGACAACGCATGGCAGGAATACTTTCAAGACTTAGGAGACTAAGCAGAGACTGGGCTGAACAAAACACGGCTACGCTCAGTATTTTGTGCAAATGATAGCGTTTGGATTAATCGGAGCTAAAATGATGAGGTTTGGGATGTAATGTGCTCTGTCTGTAACATCCCTCGCATAGTGAGACGCATGAGACCAGTGATATGCCGCAATGCATTAGAGCAGGCCCACAGACCTAAACAAACCAAAGGCTGGTTCTTTGGCAGTCGAATCAATCCTGATTCAGGTATGGAATCTTGAGAATTATTTCTCAAGTGGAACTATTCTCATTATCGCCCCAACGATGACCACGACTTCATCAGACAACACGGTGCTGGCTACGGACAGAAGATGTAAAAATTTGGATAAGGATGCTCTGGGATACAGACGCTGTGAGGTACTGATGTTTGTTTATATCAGATCACTGCATCATGCAAGACTATCGCTGCAATTCTGCAGAACAGTTATTAGGGTCAGAAGTTCCGACACTTATGGGGCTACTGGTCCAAAACTAAATTCTTCCACACTTTTTGTTTCAAATTGTGTATTGTGGCATTACATTCTGCAGTAGCGTGATATCTGACATCTCATCAATATTCACCTGCCAGGTCTCTAGAGCTTTATAATCCCTACCCAGTCCGTTTTTTTAGCAGGTGGCCCATGATAAATTTGCCCAGTCTAGAACAACTCTTATCTTGGAACATCTTCAAAATAGTAAAATTTCTTTGGATTGATGAATATGACATGTAACTGAATTCAAATATATATAAAACCTCGAAGACTCTCATTATCGCATCCACCGTAAACCCTATCACATCTCCACCAATTCACTGATCTTGAAGATTACCTCAACCCCTAGGGCAGACCTGAAGTCTTCGTTGGCAATCTATCACAATCCTTGGAGTTGGCAAGGGGATTGCCGCCTTGGTGGTGTCGTCAATCCCCCACTGTTTCTTCTGGTCGTTCAACCACTCTGGGAGATCCGTTATAGGCTTAGCCAGACTTGTGGCCTTGTCATATACCGGAGACACTATGTGAGCTTTATCGCAAGTAAATTGGAGTTTGTCATGTCGAAGCTTCTTCAGACACCTTCCACACAAGGCCACTTCCTGACATACTTGACACATGTAGATTTTGTCCCAGTCCTTCTCTGTGCAGCCGGGTCCTCCACGACATGCAATAATAGCACCATGGACGTTTAGGGTTTCGCCTTTGGCGCGCTGCACGGTGCCAGGGTTGGGTCGAGTTGGAGACATTGCCGCCGTTGCCAACGCTCTTCGGCCTTCGTCTGGATACCCTGCTCGTACAAGAGCCCTACCGAGGATTATATAACCCTCTTTGTCATTCCAGGGATCCTGGTCTTCGAGAATTCGAATACCCTGGCAGATCGTTGCCCTGAAAAGCTCTCGGGACTTATTCTCTCCCCCATGTTTGCGTTCCCAGTACCCGAGCATGACTGCAGCGTCCGCACGGTAGTCAGTGTCTTCCTGTGCGCTTGGCCGTCCTGGAACCCCGGCTACCAGATTTTCCAGTTTCGAGATCCAGTCTGGCTGTTTAGCCTGGGGAGTTGACTCTGAACTCAATGCCATTCTCAGGTATAGCTCGCCCAGCGCTCTGCATTGCAGTTGTTCAACATACAGTTGTACGTCGGGATCCTCCTGAAATTCAACTCCCATATTTTTCCAGATATTGCAAGCCTGTCCCGCATCCTTGACGTACTGCCAGTAGAAATTTCCACGCAAATATTCCTCGAAGACAGCCCCTTCTGTATCTCCGTTGCTTCGCGCGACATCGACCGTCCTCTTGAAAATGTGCTCGGCAAATTGAATTTTTTTGCTGTCTCCCCCATCAACAGCAGCACGACTGAATAAAACGTGGCCCTCTTCCCAACCAAGGAGCAGAGAGACCAAGCGATCTTCGCCCGGAGGTTGAGTCTCCGAGCTGGATAAACTTTTGCAAAGTTTGAATAATCGACCGAATTTCGATCTCCGTCCGAGGATGCAGAACAAGTGGGCTAGCTTTTGAAAACTGCCACTGTCAAGATAGTATGCTTTCTGCGCGGCGTCGGTCTGGGCCATCCCCTCTCCACACTTTCCGTGCCAGATGCTCAAGTTCAGATAGATATTGCTCTCAGAAAAACTGTCCGGTCGCGGCTTACATAGGAGAGACATTTTAATTTGGTCCACCGCTTTCTCATAGTGCCCTTGTGCGGCATATGCCATGGCAATGCCGCTTTTGATCACCCACTTGTCAAATTCTCCCTCTTCGGCTTTGTGATACATATTTATCGCAGCTTTGAGATGATTTGCTTCGCAAAGGGCACTGGCTACTCTCACGTGCCAATTTGCATCTTTTTTGAAGTTGCCAAATTGCGCAAGCTCGAGTATTCTCTTTTTTTCCAGATCGCGGATGCTAGGAATGTGGAGATCGTTGGGAGAGGCCATGCCCCATGGTTTCTCGCCCTATACATCCGTGAGTATACGTATGAAAATCATCACCCTACACTATATAATCACAAATGTATAGACAGGCTTAGAAGCAAACTCACCAGCTTATTGTATCGATCGAGGAACAGAACGCAGAACTCGGTGTCCATGGACCCGGTTTGAAGCCAGCTCTCTGCGCAATTAAAGGCAAGCGGTTGGTAAAAATCTTGGGGAGATTCATACGATCCGGGCAGCCATTCCATTAATTTGCGATACGTTCTCGGTATTTCAAGCAACATTGATATTAGTCTCAGCCTCTGTTTTTTGTCCATGGCACTGTACCAGCGAGCACTGGTTACCGGCTGTCGTATAAGCTCGAGCAGTTGCGACTTTGCCTGATATCCTATGTCATCTTCCTCGATTTCCATGAAATGGTCTATGACGTGGGACGCTGCATAACTAATCATATCCAGGGCTCCAGAGCGTGTGTCGAAGTCGTCACTAGTGTCGTGCAAACAAAGAAGACATGTTTTCAGAATCGATGAATGGGCCTCGCTGGCCGTGAACCGATGTATGCCCCTCCCTGGGCCATACAGGAGGTCGTCCTTGAAACAGCGATGCTTGAAATTGACAACCCTGCGCGGGGATTCTGAGAAGCAAAGACTATACTTGAAGGTAAGCAGTTGCTTAAACCGCTTTTCAACATCTCCGGGCCCCCCCGCAACTACTTCCAGCCTGCCATGCGAGGTCTTGGTTGTGTGTAGGAATTGCAATTCATTGCCTGTGAGCGGACGGCGTGAGCATGCTACCCAGCGTAGAATATCCTTAAACTGGCTCTCATCGTGATCTTTCTTCATGGCGCCAACCAAAATCGATCCTATGTGATCTGCCTTGTTCTTCGGGTAACCATGCTCCAGGAAGTGTAGTATTTCCTGTCCGCTTTCCCAGCCTTCAATATGTTCAATGACGAGACGAACCCATAGAAAGACGCCATTGGCTTCCTTCTGCAATGTCTCAATTGCCAGTGCTCTGTCGCTAGGTTGCAGAAGAGGAAATTTCCGTTTGAATTTTCGCTCAACATACTGGTCGATGTCGGACTTGATGCTGGCACTCGACACGCGCAGCTGTGCTCCATCTGGACAGGCGTCTTGAACTGTTCCGTGCACTTCGGACCTGCTAACGACTGCAATGTTGATTTGCCACTTGCTCGAGGAAGAGCGCCGCAAGTCCATCCAGGGCGCTATAACCTTCTTCTGCTCATCAGCAGAGACAGCGTCCAACCCGTCAATTACGATGAAAACACGACAGGTGGTGTTCTCCTTGAGAAACGGAACAAAGATTTTGCTCCATATTTCTTTCTCATTCCTAATCCATTCGGGATTTTCCAGTGCCTTTGCGGCAGCTTTTTGGAATTTTTGGCTTTTCTTGCTGAGTTGCAAGGCTAGACACTTGAAGATGGTAGTCGCCAGGTTACCTAATGTGTCAGATGCCCGGACATAAAAGTAAGCCACTAGACCCTTTCTTCTTATATGTTCACTTATCAACCGAGAGGCAAGAAATGTTTTGCCCATAGCTGGCTCCCCGTGGACCCAGATCACTTTGGGGCCCTTCCCTTCCATCCAGCGTGCAACGATTTCCTCGCGCGTTATCCACGTCGCATTCACACCTGCCTGCCTCTCTTTCACAATCTCGTCGTGGATATTGTGCATTGCGTTCCAGGTATCGAGATCAAAAATTTCCTCGAAGCGACCTTGGTCGCCTCTGTGCTCAATCCTCCTAACAGCCGTACTTAACTGCTTCAGTTCGTCGCGGAACATGGTAGTATCACGTCGTATGATCGAAAGACACATCATGGCCTCGGCTTCTGCCAGCCCATGTAGACTGGCCATCTTTTCCTCGATTTTCGAAGAGTCGCCGAAGAAAAGTCGGGTCAAGAACTCTTTGCTCCACTTGTACTTTCGTCCTTTTCCCAGCTGCTCTGACGCTTCTACTAGGACTTCACTAACAAGCGCAATTGCCTGGACGAGAATCCTGCGCAACGGTGCATCTATACGCGCCTCCTGATGCACGGCCATCCGATCGAGCGTTCCAGCGATCCGGTTCAGGAAATCTTGGATGCTCTGATACGACGCGGAGAACTTACGCGCCGTCTCCATCAGGTGCAGACATGATCCCAAGATCAAAGAGGCAGGAGCGAACGGAGTCGCAGCGACGACAGCATTGAGAATCTTCCCCGTGACTTCAAATGGCGCCAGTATCCTGTCCAGGATGCTCCAAAACTTTGACGTCCGGGCGTGGTTCTTGAAATTCTCGTCGCATTCCGCCAGTCGATTTTGCAGCTCCTCTCGATTCCGGGGAAGTGGCTTAGCGGCTAACACTTTCTTTGTTTTTTCTGGAAGCGATTGCAGTGCCTCTGTGAAGATGTCTATTTCTGCCTTTGCCATGGTTGAGTCTCTCGCATAACAAGCTGCAGTGGCAGCTGTCGAACCTCTAGCGGGGTATTGCGATAATAGATGTATTTGGCAGGAAGGGGTAGAAAATATGCACTAACTAGCAAGTGGTTTTTGAATAAGCCCTCCTTCTGTTCATAGGGCTTGACTCATCAATCTTACAGGTTTCCTGTTCGTTCAATCGCAGGAGGGGTTAAAAGAGGGGCTGCTTATGGCACGCGCTATTGCATCCTGGCAAGGACCATTCAGCATGGACACTGGATTTTAGGTAAGTATGCGCTTAGCGTTGAATTATCATATTTATCAAGTATTAGACTTGGGTTCTGATGTTCGATCTCTGCGGCTCCAAAAATTGTTGAAGATTTGTGGTCCATAGCATATGTCCGAATATATATTTGAGGCTGTCGTTGTTAGCCGCAGCATTGTTACTAGGCCCACACATTTACATATAACTTTATTCACATTCATATACACGAAACTTTCACCAGTAGAACATCAATTCAGAAACAAAAATATCAAGGAATAAAAAAAAGCAAAAACATACAACAGCCGGGATTCGCATGTGGTCACCCACCATACTACTAACCGGCCGGCGTGTGGCTTAAGTACGGCTGAGCGGACGGGAAGCCCTGTTCTCCACACCCTATGGTCGTATGTACTCATTCCCTCTAATGAGTGAAACTTATAGTGTCCATCACTTCTCTACCGTCAGCTACAGTGTCCATCTCCATATAGAATGTTCAAGACTACTTACAAAGCGCAGAAGATGGATAAATAATTTACAGACCGAGTGGTAATCCTTTGCAATATCATCTTAAGGTATGTATGTATACTTGTTGTCATGCTGAATAGTAAGGCATACAATTAGGAAAAATGTCAGCTGACTTGCCGGGATTTATCCCACACATTTGTTTTTGGACTCTTTATGCTCCTACAACCTTGCAACAATTCGCTGCATTTGATAGCTCTAAAAAGTCACCAATGTCATCAGTGTCTTGGCTGGTCTCATCAATTCTCCCACAATTCACAGTCAGATCGCAAGAGACATAGCCCGCGTGCTTCATCAATATCTGGCCATCGTGCTTGAAAGATATGATAATTGCCATAGCTCTTGTCTAAAACGATACTCGCTATCATTCTTCAGTGAAAACATTCTTTTCCGGCCCCAGATACCAGCCTACATAACCCCTCACGCTTGACCAGCCTGAATAATGCTCTTGACAATATCCGCCGCGCGCCCGAGCGCTGCCTTGAAGCGCTCGGTGCCCGTGCGAGGACTGACGAAGCACACCTCCAGACTGCCAATCTATTAGCTGCATGCTCCAGACTAGACGGGGATGGAGGGCTACTTACGAATCTTCGTTCACGGTGTAGTTCATCCACACATTCTCTGGGTCTTCCATCGTATAGCCGGGATCCTGGGCCAGTTTCTTGTCGATCATAGTCTGCATGATCAGACGCGGGTAGCTCCTCTTCCACACGGGGTCAGAGAACAGCTCTGGAATGGCCTCGGAGGCGTCCTCGTCGTGCGCGTCCTGGCTCATAACCTCCAGCACGTCCATCAGCCGGAAGTAGTTGCGGCCCTCTCCACCCTTGACGACCTGCGCGTTGGTCTCGCGCGCCGCCCGCAGGAGCTGGGCACGCGCCTCAGTCCGCGACACGTTGCTGTCGAGCGCCGCGTCACAGAACTCTACCACCGACTTGAGCACCACCTGCACGATCTCGGGCCGGCCGAGGTGGAAGTGCGCTGTCGATACCGTCTCCCAGCTTGCCGGCAGGTAACCAAAGTACAGTCGGCTGGCGAGCTGGATCGTTAGGTCTACGGTCGCCTTGATGGGCACCGAGTGGTCTAGGAGGACGGCTTTTCCGATAGACGGGACGACGTGGGGCGTGTAGATCTTCGCCCCGGTGGTTGCGGCGTATTTGTCGCGCAACATCGTCATGCGGGCCTCGATCTCCGCCGTTGTCGCTACCAGGGGGATCTCCTCCAGGCTGGCGGGATCGACGATGGCTTCGCGGTCAGGACCGGCGTCATTGTCGTTCTCTGGGTCCAGGCTGTTGATGGCTCGCTGTAGCCGTTGCGAGATCTGCGACGTGGTCATGAAGTCGATCATGGAATGCTCGAAGATGGTACCGGAGCTGCCATTGGCGGTAACGACGAGCTGTAGGGTTTTGTCGTGCCAGCGGTTGAACGAGTCGCCCAGGTACCCGAACCGGACCCGTTCCTCACGCGTGAGGGGGCTGTAGTCATCCAGGCACAGGACAACAACAGATTCCTCCACCGTTTTGATATACGCGGCGTTCCTCGCGTCTATCGAGAGCAGTGTCTGTCGGTTCTGGGATATCGTTAGTATAGCAAGCGTTATAGAGGCAGAGCAAGACCTACAGTAGCCCAACTGTCGCGGTTGTCGGTCGTCAAAATGCCCGTCCAGTGCTTTTCCTCTAGGTTGATATCAAGGATGGCTTGGTATGTTGCTTTCAGCTTGGAATATGAGACAATGTCGTCTCCTTCCCGGAGCGACACGCGGAACAAGTGCCCTCTTCGTAACACGGCAATGTGTTCCACCCCCGGATACCTCATCATCTTGTCACATCCCACGTTGGGCTCTCTCAGCGCGTTGAAAAGCCACGTCAGCGAGTAGCCGCAGTTTGGCCTCTCGCCCAGAAAGTCGGGCTTCAGATTCTTGGAATCTAGGTCACGTTTAAACTCACACAGGCCCCTAGTTAGCGTGGCCGCTCGCTGGGCTTGGGTGTGCGGCACGGGGCTGTCAAAGTGGGTACCGAGGAAGCTGCTGAATGGTACCAGAGGATATCTTCTCTTGAGGTGCAGTGCCTTGGTAAGGGGACCGGCAATCCAGCTCTCGACGCTGGGGTCGTCCGCCTTGGCGCGTAGTTGGCTGTACAGCCTGCGGCCGAGACTGCCCGGTGCAGCGAGGGCGTGGGCCTTGCGGCTGAGCTCCGCATACTCCTCTCGCGTGTGGGCAAAGTGGCCGATGCCGTTTAGGAGGTCGTTGACGGCCTCGTCTAGGTCGACAAGCGGGTGCCTGGGTAGCTCCTTGCTCGCCCGACAACAGTGGAAGCTATGATTCGGCTGAAACTCGCCATTCGTAGGGGTGTTCTCATCCTTCTCCGCCGGTTTAGTCGCTTCCTGTGGGCGTGATGTTCGCCGGATCTCGTCGGGGATCAAGGTCGACCGCGAGGCGACCGTTGCCGCTAGTGCTAGAATGCTGCTCGCACCGCCAAGTTCCGACGTCTGGAGGTTGATCTGGAACGCGCGCACCATCCAGTTCTTCAGCTCGATGCTGACGAGGGAGTCGAGACCGATGGTCGCAAGCGACTGATCAACCCTGATGTCGTCGATCGACCGGTCAAGGAAGACAGCGAACTTGGTCAGCGCTGCGTCCCGGATGAGCTGCTCCGCTTCCCCCATCGTTGTCACGCTACTTAGAGCCTTTTTCAAGTCCACCTTATCGGTCTGCGTGGCGCCCGCAGCTTGCTTTTCTTGGGAATGAGCCAGCTGGCTGAAAACGGGGTTATCAAGAAGATGCTCGTCGTTGGCGTCCATCATGGACTGATGCGTGACACCCTGGATGGTCTGGTGCATGTGCCGCTCTCGAGCGAGATCAGTCATGGCATACTCAATATTTGCAAAGAACTCGCCATAGGAGATGTCCATCGCGCTGTTCTGCCGCAGAGACGCCCTCAGGCCGCCGACGGACATCTCGCCTTGTTCTGCGCGGTGCGCTTCGACGGAGACGGCCCCCACATTGACTGAGACGTAGTGCGTATGGGGGTGGCTGGCATGGGCCCGTGCGAAAGCGTCTTGAAAGCCATTTCCAGCGGCGTAATTGGATTGACCACCCTTACCAACGACGGCCACGACCGAAGAGAGGGTTAGGAAGAAGGCTAAACTTGGCGAGGCAAAGAACTTGTCAAGGTTGAGAGTCCCGAGCACTTTGGGCTGGAGTGCCAACTTCCACTCCTCGACGGTCATCTGGGCGAAAGTCCGGTCCTATGATAGTGTTAGACGATGGTCTCGAACTGAAATGTGTAGGGTTATGATGATTTACTCTAAGAACTAAAGCACCGTTCACCACACCCCGTACGGGGGGCAGCCTGGAGCAATAAGACGCAGCGCGTTTCATGCTCTCCTCATCCGTGATATCACATTGGAGGATATGAAGTTCGCCCCCATGTTCTCTGACCGCAGCCATGTGCTTCTGTTTCGTTTCTTCGTCGATGGCGCGCCGAGAAAGAGAGACCACGTGCCCGGCACCCCGAGAGGCCAAAAACACACATATCCGCGAGGTTAGATCACCCAGGCCGCCGGCTGCGACGTATGTACTGTCTTTGCGGACACGCAGTGGCAGCGGCTTTGCAGGGAGAGACTTGACCATGGATGTGGCCTCGACCTGGAGGACAACCTTGCCAATGTGCTTCCTCGAGCCTACGAAACGGAATGCATCCTCAATCTGATCAATGGGATAGGTGATGATGGGGTGTATGGGCCGCAATGCCCTGCACTCAAGCAGACTGACGATGTCGCCTAACATATGGTGGACGCGCCCGGAGTTTAGAGCCGAGAGTTTTTCTAGATCGAAGACGTGGAAGGTGATTGACTTGTTGAAGGCAGCCATGCTCAGCCGAGAACCTTGTTGCATCTCACTCTTCCCCAGCTCAATGAAAGTTCCCAGGGGTTTGGTGCAGTCGAGACTGTCCCTTAGTAACTCTCCTGTCGACGAGTTTAGCACCAGATCCACTCCCTCACCGTTGGTGAGTCGCATGATGCCCCGCTTGAGCGACGCGGTCTGGCTGGAGAAGATATGACTTTCCGGGATGTTGTACTCGGTCATGATCAGCGCTCGCTTTGCAGCCGTGCTGACGGTGCAGAATACCGTCGCACCAATATGCTGGGCGAGTTGAATGGCCGCCTGGCCCACGCCGCCGGACGCAGCGTGAATCAGAACCGATTGGTCTCTCTCAAGACGGGCTGTTTCCACCATGCAGCGATAGGCCGTCACGTACGCGTGCGGAATGGACGCCGCCACCGAGGCGGACATCCAGCCGGGTATCTTGTGGGCCAGATGTCCATGCACCCGCGACAGGTTGCTGAACGGCTGTGCGCCGAAACCCATCACGCGGTCGCCTACTTGGAAGCTATTCCGCATATCTTCGCCCACAGCCGTCACAAGGCCGGCAAACTCGCCAGCCAAATGGACACCAGGGCCTCTCTGGCCAAGAGCATGGCTGACATCCTTGTAGTTCACACCGTGGGCCTCGGTCTTGACTGCAATCTGGGATGCCCCGAGAGCAGCCGACATGTCATGGTCGACGAAGCGCAGCGAACTCAGCAGTCCCGATGTCGCGACCTCGGCCTTGAGAATTCGGTCGCCTTGGTAGGACGCGGTCTCCGTCTCGTCGGCGGTACCCAGTCCCGTACGGCGCCGAGCCCACTGCAAGAATTCGGCATCCGGCTTAATACGGGGGATCAAAATACAGCCGTCCTCGTAGGCAAACTCCGGCTCTAAAGACGGCGCGTTACCCGTGGCCGGCCAGAAACGCTTGTGTGCCACGTCGGCGATGATTCGGGCAGTTTTCTCTGGATGTAGATTAGGTTGGCGGATGTCGAGGCTGACTATACCAGTGCTGCTGCTCTCTCGCCGGAGCACACGGACAAAGGAATTAACCAGTCCCTTGTAGGCTGCAGCAGCAGGGTCTGTTGTTGCTTGGAGGAGCACCCATAGGATTCGGCATTTTGCGTTGAGGAGGGCATTGACGGTCTCGAACAGTTGGGGCTGGGGGTCGAGGAGGAGCGGTTTCTCCGCACGGTCGATGATCACATAGAGGCTGTCTTCCTGGGCGTTAACTTGTTCCCACGGGCACTCTACGGCATCAATATCGTTGGAGGCGAGTTCCACGGCGGCCGTCTTAACCACATGATCGTCAACGCCGTCCCTGATAAGAACGACGCTGTGCCTGGCAAATGTCCCGTTGCTATGTGAGGGCTCAGCTTTGGCCACCATCATGCATTCCCACGATAGGTGAATTCCCCCAAACCCGTTCCTCGCCAGGACATCCTGCCACTGGTTGCCGACCATCAGCGGACCGTCGACCCGGAAATCATCCTCGGGAGCCCACCATCCGGTGAGCGAGCCGGCCACGAGACCAAAAGCGGCGCCTTTCGGCTCGACTTCAAGGAGAACCAGGCTGCCCCCAGGCTTAAGTAGCTTGCGCATGCGACTTATCGTCACGTCGATCTTCCTTGTCGCATGCAGCACATTGGCCGCCACCAGCACGTCGTAAGATTCAGGCTCGAAGCCCTGCTCGATAGGATCTGCATCCACGTCAAGCGTTCGAAATTCCATGACGTCCTCCCATTTGGCGAATGTCTGGCGCGCATCCTCGAAGAATCCACTAGAGACGTCCGTAAAAGTGTATTTTTCGACAGGAAGGCCGACGGCGCCGTTCTGGCCAGAAAGTCCGCGGAAGAGCCACTTTGTGCAGCCTCCCGTGCCTGCGCCAGCCTCGAGGACGCGGAGGCGCGGGTTCTTGAAAGTAAGGATCTTCATGTACGCCACTGCGGCTTCGTAGGGGCCGACCATAATGCCGCTCTCATAGTACCTTGATAGGAGATTGCCTTCCAGCATGACGTCCAAGGGCTGGGCTTTGCCAGTCAGGATGTGCGGGAGGGCTTTACCAACACGGGCTAGAAGTTGTAGCTGGGCTGAGGTATTAGAGGACTCGATCTTTTGCAGGATGCTCTTTTCTTCTTCCGAAGTCAAGCCCAAGGTGATCTGACGGCAGTAGTCCGAGGCTAACCACCTCTTCATCCAACCAAGGAATTTGACTTGCTGGGGGGTCACCATGCCAGCATTGTTCTCCTCAACATGGCGCACAGCATCTCGAAACCAAATGGATGAGGCCTGATCCGTAACGCGGTATTCCTCATCGGATTCCTGAAGAGACAATTTGGTTCCTTCAAACCCGTGTGTTGTGTTTTTCTCCAAGCCCATGGTAGACAGGAGCACCTGATGGAATGAGCTTCCGGTCATGAAGTCGGCATCAAGGTTCCAGTCCAGTCGATTTACTGCATCCTGGACGAAAGGCCGGTTTTCATCCTCGCGCGTCTCGCCAACGGCTCTCAAGTTGATAAGAAGTCGAATTACGGGGCTGAGATGGCCATCCACATCCTTCTGGAACACCCAGCCCTCCCCCGTGGACGCTCTGGGCCCGTCAGCTTCGATTTGCATGGCCCCAGTCAGGACGGCTCCTGCCGTGGTGGAGATACTGGCACTGATTTCCAACAGCGGGATCTTAGTCGGAACACACGCAGCGTTGGTGATGAATCTCTTAAACAGGATTGCATTGATCTGCTGCGCGGCATCCAAGGTGGTCGGATGGATGACATGAGACCTGAAGGACCGGTACGGCATCAGCGCCGCAATATCTGGCGTACTTATTTCGAACACGCCACGGGTTTTGCCGTATTTTGCTGAAACGATAGGTGTAAATGCACCGCTAAACTCGTTTCCTGTCTGTCTTGCAAAGTCGTAGAACTCCGACGTCGTCATGTCGGTGTCGCAGCTTTGCTGAGAGGTTTCAAGGAATTGTATAGCTTCTTCTCGACGCAGTTCGCCTTCTCGGGTTCCCTCGACCTCGTCCGGCTCGTCCGTGTTGTACTCGACCGTGATCTCGCCGGAGCAGTGCTCGCTCCACGAGCCGTCAGTGTTGTAAGACCGGATCCGGAACGACTCCCAGCGGCTGCCCTCGTACTGATTCGCGGCCGACATGCTCAGCTGGACTTCCACCTCGCCGGAGTTACTGTCATCTCGCTCATTGAGCACGATGGCCTTAGAGATCGACACGTTGCGGAGGACAAATTTGGTGATGGGTTGTTGGTCCCCTCTCATCTGCACGAGCTGCTTCGTTGCCTCCATGGCCATCGTCAGGTAGCCTGCACCAGGATACAGCGTGAAACCCTCAACCATATGGCCTCTGAGCCAGGGCAGGCTGTCTAAGTTGATAAAGTACCTCCAGCGCGGCTCATGGATGGTGCTGGCCGGGTCAAGCAGGCCGAGGAGGTCGTGGTGTGGGAACGGGCGGAAGCGATGGGCCTTGCTGAGCCTAGACTCGCGCCAGAACGGCGCCAGGTCCCAGGGATATGATTTCAAGTCTCTGATGACTTTAGGCTTTGTGTTATCGGTCATGGTGAGAACAGCGTGCATGTCGAGCTCGAGGCCGAGCTCGAACATTCTGCCAACGAGCGCCAGGGTGGACTGTGCGGCATCAGTGTTGCGCACTAGAGCAGAAAAGTACTCGAATTTGAAGCCTTTCGCACCGTCCTGGGCAAAGGTCTGGCGAGAAGGACCCGCAAGGGCCGAGTGAGGCCCGATTTCAACAAATACACCCATATCCATGTTAGTATCATGCTTGATCTGGTCGTTGCGTAGCAGCATCAACGCCTGGCTGAACTTGACTTGCGACACCAGGTTGGACGCCCAGTAGTCGGGGCCAAATCTAGTTGACTTGACAGCGCCGGTGACACTCGAGTAGAAGTCCACGCCGTCTCTTACTCCGGAGGGCTCAATACTGCCGATCGCCTCTTGGTAATCTTGGGCAACACGCTGCATGTGGTGGGAGTGATAGGCCGTGTCGACCCTCAGCTTGCGGGCAAATATACCGTCCTTATCAAGTGCTTCCTTGAGTTCGTCAATAGCGGTTTCGTCTCCCGACAGGGTCTGGCTCAACGGGCTGTTCACGCATGCCACAACAGCCGTCCCACGAGTAAGTTTCTTGAGGTACTGCGTCGCTTCGGTCTCGTTCAGGCTTACTGCCATCATGGCGCCGGGGACATCAGCCATCTGTTTGGCTTTGGCAGAAGACAGTCCTCGCTGGTATGCACTGTTTATTATCAGCAAAAGACCGCTGCATATATAGAGGTCACACTTACACGAGAATAGCACTGTTCCGGCTCAGCGCGCCAGCCGCGTAGGCCGCGGCAATTTCACCAGAGCTGTGACCCACAACCCGACTTGGTCGGATCGAGAAGCTCTCGAGCAGATCCACGAGTGCAATTTGAATGGCGGTGGTGGCAGGCTGCGCAATCTCGGCCTCGCCGATACGGGAATGCTCGGCAGACTTTGACAGCTCCTCCACAAGACTCCACCGGCAGCCTTGGCGACGCAGGGCATCTTCCATGGCCGATATCGATAATTGGAAAACGCGCGAGGAGTGAATTAGCTCCAAACCCATTGCATGCCACTGGGCTCCTTGCCCGGAGAAGACGAACGTGATGGGTGCTCGCGACGCGATTCTCTTCTGAGGGCATGGTACTTTGAGCTCAGCCACCAGCTCCTCCATCGTTGATGCGACGATGGCTCTTCTGTAGGGGAGAGCCGATCTGTAGACCCCGAGCGTGTAGGATAGATTGTGCAGAGTCTGTGGTGTCGTCTGGTGCATCTTAATCCATAGGCGAAGGTCTTGGGCGCGCAATAACAACGCTTTCTCGGTCGACGCACTGAGAACAAACAGTTCCGGACAGTGTGACGTAATTTTGTTCGACAAAGAGACTTGATTTTTGTTCGAAAATCCGTTCCTCATATTGTTACTCTGGTCCGCGTGGGTTCCAATGGCCGTTGTACCATTGGCCGTTGTACCATTGGCCGTTGTACCATTGGCCGTTGTACCATTCGGCTTCCTCTCGGAGTCAGCAGCCTGGAGAATGACATGGCAATTGGACCCCCCGTAACCAAACGAATTTAGAGACACCCGCACCGGCCCACCATCACGGGGCATCGGGAGCTTTGTCAATTCTGTCGGAATCTAGGAGATATTAATTCAAACACTTGATACCAGTCGCACATCGGGTATACCTTGATATTTCTCTCATAGAGCTTCAGGGAGGGCTTTGGCTTGATAAATTCCAAGTTCGGCGGGATGTGGCCATGCTTCAGCACGAGAATAGATTTGAGCAGCCCGGCAATGCCAGAGGACGCCTCGAGGTGCCCAACGTTTGGTTTAATCGACCCAACGTAGAGGTCGCCTGTCCTAGCACCACCCTCACAGAAGACCTTAGAGATGGATGCAATTTCTTCTCGGTCGCCTACTTGGGTTCCCTATTCGGATGTCTGTCAGCGCGGATTCATTCCACCGTACGGGATACTTACTGTGCCGTGAGCCTCGACAAACGATGTATCGGCAGGGTTCAACCCTGCCTCTCGATATACACGGGAAGACAAAGCAGCTTGAGCGTCGCTACTGGGGGTGTTGAGGCCAGGGGTTTTGCCGTCTTGGTTTGTGCCAGAGTTGGCAATAACGGCGTGGACTCGGTCGCTGCTTACTTATCAGTATAAATCATCTCTGGCGCTTTTTCTTGCGATATATTACCCGTCTGCAAGTGCGCGGTCTAAACGCTTGAGAACAATCGTGGCCACGCCCTCACCGCGTCCATAACCTTCGCCTCGCGAGTCGAAAGCATAAGACTTGCCATCGGGATTCAGCATGCCCATGGTACTCACTACGTCGAGTCAGCACTTGGGGAATTTTCACAAATCTCCGCTTCAAGTGTAAAGTGGGGAGGGACTCAAGTGGATGGGAATCAACTCACTGATGGTGAGAGGGTCAGGGTCGATAATAAGTTGCGAGCCACCAACCAAGGCGAGGTCTGACTCGCCTAGCCTGAGACTCTGGCATGCTTGATGAAGGGCCACGAGACTTCCAGACTATACGCTTTCAGTATGGTTCTTTCCACAGCTTGCAATAGCACTTACGCAGCCAGTGTCAATAGTCAAGCACGGTCCTTTCAGATCAAAACAGTAGGAGATTCTGTTCGAGAGGACTTTGTCGTGTCAGCACCATGACTATTAGATCGGCCTCGAACACCTACTCGCTTCCCCCGTCCCGTTCATATGCGTATTGCCAATGGTAGACAGGTCCTTGTGTCCCATCCTATCATAGCTTCTCTCATATACACCAGCAAAGACCCCAGTATTGGACCCTCGCAAAGTCTCCACCGGAATGGCAGCGTCTTCCAATGCCTCGTACGTGGTCATCAGGAACAGACGCTGCTGAGGATCCATGGAGTGGGCCTCCGTGCTGGAGATACCGAAGAACTTGGCATCAAACTGCGAGATGTCCTCTTGCAGGAAGAACCCGTGCTTCGTTACCATGGACTGTTTCGCGTCCGGGTATGCGTCAAACCACTCCTCAGCACCCCAGCGGTCTGCCGGGATTTTCATTTGGCCACTGCGGCCCTCCGACAGGAGATTCCATAGCTTGTCGAGATTGCTGGCCCCGCCAGGGAGCCTGCAACCGACGCCTATGATAGCAATAGGATCTGGTGTTGGAGACATGGTTTGAACAATGGGTGATAGATAGTTGATTCTCAAAGTACAGAATGCGTTACAAAGATATGCTGCCAGTGTCTACACGTCACAATGGTTACTATTTATATAGGTTGGCGATGCTTTGCAGTCATTATAACTAGGGTGGTCACAAAGACGTACCCATGTAGTAAGAGGTCTAGTTTGCCTGGGCCTTGTCAAACCTCTGAGTCGCCCGAGATACGATCCAGTTCGGCACCCCCAGACGAAGCGAGCGCGTGGCTTGCAGCTCCAAGACTATCAGCACAAAGACCTCCCTGCTCAACCGCCGGACTGCCGTTGTACTGTAACCCCACACATAGAACTTCCCCGCGCGGGCTTTCTCCTACCGCCGAGACGTTTGGTCTGGATGTCTCGGCGTTTCCCCGTTCCTTGGGACTTTTAGTAAAGCTAGTATGACCGGACGCAGAGATAGTATAGACTGATCAACTTGCTTCCAAACCAGCTCTGCTAGATTTCTCAACTCCCTCTCTCTCTTCACATATGGTCCTACCGCGCCACGTGATAGTGTAGAGCCCTACACGGCAACAGTGTAGAGTCTCTAGAGTGAGTATACAGTAGTTATGTGGGGTATCATATCTAGACATACTGTAATAATCCCATCCTAGCTCTGCCTTTTCTTGGCAAATGTCTGAAGAGTCAGGCTTGTACGAGACCCACTTTCCGACGTACCAGTTCTGCAGCCTACAGTGTACTCGCTCTAAGCGTGGACAAGGTTATATAAGTGCGGGTCTCGGGCCTGGCCGCTTGCGGGCCGCGAACTCGGGAAGATCCGCCGCCATCCGAGCGCAATTTAGCCGGTTTTTCCCACCCTATCGGTTAAATGCAAGAGCAGTTATCCTCCTATCAAGTCCCTGCTGGAGTATCATCGCTCTTGCAGAAATAAGAGTTCTTCAGTCTCCCGAACTTGCCGCTTAGAAGACGCCAATGCACTACACCCCACCTAGAGCATGGGTGGGCTCGCCGGATCTTCCCTTCCATGCTGGAATCATGCGGACATGCCGAGAGTGAAGGTAGCAAACATGCTGATTATAATGTAACCTAAGACTATACCCATGAAGTGTGGCTGTGAGTCAGATTCCATATCAGAGCAGTGTGCTTTATGGGTGCTTCCCACGCACGGCTGTGGTGGATTGTGTATGGGTTGACTATGACCGCATATAGATATCGGAACTTAAAATTTACTATCGTTGAATTGCAAGGGCGATGTCACTATGCATCAACCATGCATATATACTCTTCATCTAAGAGATTCCATGTGATCATCCTATGGCTATCCCTTTAGCGACTTGAGCGAACGACATACGGGAGAGTCACTTTCGACCCAGGATGGACTGGTCTAGACTTACTTGACATGCATATATATTGAACCCCGGGCTCCAGGGAGATTCCGCGTTGAGGATTTTCCGCCTATGGGTCTAATTCGTTTTTCAATGGAGGGGATGCTCATTCGAGCCGCCATTGGCGCTGACAGTGAATCCCAGTCGTCACACCCATGGTACCTCAGCGAGTCCAGTAACCTATTTCACTTCTCTTGCACTATGATACACAAAGGGACGGTGATGGTGCGGGGTTGCATAAACCCCTGGTCTCTTACTTTGTCAATTTCCTGGTCCTCGTATCATCTAGGCCAATAATGGATTCATACACATCTGCACTTAGCGTGGCTAGTTTCATGTAGAAAATCCTACCGGGGGCCTCAAGGTGGCGGGGATCGAACGGAAGGACCCATTGATTTAGGAATATCGGGCTTCCAAGCCGAGATCGATGTTGGAGGAGTCCCAGGGGATCCCTAAGATTCCGGTATTGAGTCCCAAGAAGGTCTTCTGTCTCTATATATCCTATATTTCTCAGGAGACTCATCCATCAATGCTCGAGGCTCACTTATGCTCCCGTCCTCTCAGCCGACATTTTTCACATTGGGAGACTGTTCTACTTGGTCTGATATTCATCATGGCAGTAGCTTTGGGAGCACTCTGGTAAGTGTCTTTGCGCTATACAACGCGTAAATCACAAGATGACTTACGCTACGTAATACAGGGCTTGGAGTGTGTTAGACAAAGCCGTCATATCATATTTTGCGAGCAAGTACAAACCGGTTCCCTTACCCGTAAAGCAAAATTACACCCACAACGACGTGAGCATCATCGTCCCGACAATCGACACCGAGTCAACCTTCACCGAGTGCATGCGCCTCTGGCTTAAAGCCAATCCTCGTGAAATCGTCATTGCCACCGTTGAGCGGAACAAGGCGCGTGTCGAGGAGCTGATCGAGCCCCTCCGACAGCATGCTGACAAGATTGTCATCGTGATTTCGCCGCTGGCCAATAAACGTCACCAGCTGATAGTCGGTGTCAAGGCAGCCATGGGCAAGATATTTGCCTTGGTGGATGACGATGTTTACTGGCGCGTTGGCACCGTTGTGCCCTACCTCTTGGCTCCGTTTGAGGATGCCCAGGTCGGGGCAGTGGCGGGTATACAAAGGTCAGGCCCCCAAATCTAACGCCCACTTTGTGCACAACACATGACTGACTGCAATTATCATCAGCGCTGAGGTCCCGTCCAATCGCCAAGATGCACGAGTCATCACACCCTGGGAAGCAACGGCGACGTTCGACTTGTGTCAGTGGAAAGGCTCTCGGGAGGTGCACTTCGCGGCTGACGGAGGCTGCTGGTGCCTGTCCGCACGAACGCTCTTCATCCGCGCTTCCATACTCCAGGACAAGGGTTTCGCCGATGCGTACACGCAGGAAACAATCGGCCGCAGGATCGTGAACACTGCCGACGATGTTGTTCTAACTGGGATGATATTTGACCGCGGATGGAAGGTGTCAATCCAGAATACCCCCAAAGCTGAAGTGACCACCAACATTCCTCGGGACCACAGACTTGTGTGGCAGCTGCTTCGCTGGGAGCGGGGGAACGTTCGCACTTTCCTGGGGTATATGTTTGTATTCCCTGGTTATAGAAAAATGATGCAGTAGGTCGCTCCCGTCTTGGTCGCGGGCTTCGTGAAGGGGTTGTCTGGTTTGTTCCGTTAACTCTCTACTTAGGAGACACCCATACACGGTGTCTAAAATGGTTGAGCGCCTTGCTCGTCCCATCTGGGCACTCGCATACGTTTGGGCTTGGTTTCAAACGTGGTACACATCGCCGTTGATTGCGTGAGTACTCCATCCCCGTGCTGCATGCATGTTTACATTCAGTACCCCATCTCACACCCTTCATCAACAGCTACACATACATAGCTTGGTTAGCTTTTGGATGGAAAGGATGGTTTCCAACGTGCCGAGCATTCCTTGAGCGGCACCCCTATTGTAGACGTCAGGTGTGGGCGTTTCTGCTCATGGAATATATCGGCCCGTTCATAGACGTATATGTCTACTTGACTATGAATAATGATGAATGGTTGACTAGGACGGCGGACAAAAAGGATATTAAGGTTTAGCATGTTTGATGTTTTGTGGATATATAAGATGTGATTATATTGTGGAAAGGTCGTGTTGGGGTCTCGTTAGTCTTATTGGATGTGTGTATTTTCATCAACACTATAATTTATCTAGTCCTGGTTTCCAGTTGTACCAACATGACATATAAATGAACACTTAGATCTGTTTCTGTATCGTGTTGGAATATCAGTCATATCCAGCCTGGCCAAATTTCGAATTGGGATTTTGGTGCAGTGGCTGTTATATCGTTAGTCCTTCTGATAACGCCGAAGTTACTGGATATAAATATCTACTCACCTCGCTATGCGTGCACCGTGGATAAGCCCGTAGCTATTTCTCCATGACCTCCTCAGCTGGAGTTTGGGTAGTCGACTTCTTAGAATCTGGCAATTGCCGCCACTCCATCGCCCAGCTTGTTATCCAAGCAAGGGTGGGCGTAGCAAGCGCAACCCAGAACACATTCCTCAGAGCGGAGTTGAATGCATCCACAACGGCATTTGTCAGCTTTGGAGGGACAACCTCTCTAAAACCACCCGCACCGGCCGCCACTACAGCAGCGCCATCTACTCCCTGCACCGTCCTGAGGTTCCGCAAAAGCCCATCAGTGAAGAGATTCTGCCCAACACTAGGGGCCAATGCGCCCCCCAGCATCTGGAAGAACATGATCATAACAAGTCCCGATGGTATATCCGGCTTGTTGAGGACGACCTGCACAGCCAGGATCGGCATCTGGCTACAGCTGCCGTAGCCAAGCCCCGACAGGATTTGGAACCCTATCCAGTGTCCATGCGGACTATTGGCACGGACCAGTTGATATAAACCGCCTCCAGTAGCCAGGACGACAGGCCCAACCCACATGAACGGTACATAGTGCCCGAATTTCGACGCTATAGAGCCTGCGCAGAGCGTACCCAGGCTGTTTGACACGATCAATGGGAGTAGATTGATTCCCGAGTCTCGAGCACTAGTTTTCTTGACCGATTGGAAATATATGGGCCAAAAGTATGATTGCAGAACTATCGCAATCTGAACGAGCATCATGAATGCGCATGATGCCGATACGGTACGACTGCGGAAGATGTGAAGCGGAATATTTGAACTTGGATATGTTAGCAAGAGTATAATAACCAAGCAGTCTTCATGCATATGGAGAGTAGATTGCAAGAGAAGGGACCAACTTTTCTTTGCCTCGGAATTGCAAAGCCAAGAACGTAACCAAAAGTAGACCAAATCCGATAAGACACCCGAACACGTTGGAATTAGACCATGGGTGAACGATGCCACCCCACTGTAATGCCAAGTTCAAACATGACGTTGCGCCAAGTAGGAGAGTGGCCCCTGGAAGGTCAAGCTGTCGTAGCTTCTGGCTCCATGGTAGATTCGCCTTTACTGCGGGCGGAGGTTTTCTAAGCGTGAACCAGACCAGAACCAGCCCAACAGCTCCGAAGGCTTAAAACTTTAGCTGTGGTCATATGGGGAGGATTTTCATCGACAGGCTTACGAAGATTAATCCAGAAAACGAACCGCCAAGTCAGCACCTTGCTATCAGTTATCGCACCACCCACGAGTGGGCCAATGGCCGATCCAATGTTGTACATTCCCAGGACTATGGGCGATAATATTGCCTGCTTTTTCAAAGACACGCAATACGACAAAATAGTGGTCGTCCCGCTCACCAAACCAGCCGCGCCAAGGCCAGACACCGCTCGCCCTATTATCAGCGCCATAGAATTCGGAGCGACTGCCGAAATGACAGAGCCGATTTCAAACATGGCCAGCGAGATGCAGTACAGCCACTTGATGTTATAGAACGCGTACAAGCGGCCACAGGTCGGCAGCAGGGCCATCTGCGCAATCAAGTAGGAAGAGCCATACCAGCCGATGTCGTTGAGGCTTTGGAAGTCGCTGGTGATCTGGGGTATCGCCGTCGCTTGGTATGACAGTTAGGGCTTGATGCTCCCTCCATCGGAGAGTGGGACACGAACCCAGAATGGTATTGTCAATGGCTAGCACAAAGCAAATCGACATGAAAGCCACGGTCAGTGAAGCGAGAGCCCATCCGTGCATGTATCCTGTTGCCGGCTGCTCTGCGTTGTCCTCGGTGTCAGTTACGCCTGCGGTCACCCCATCAGGACGCGCAGGCTCCGGTGTACTGTCCATCATGCTGTTCTTGGGGTTTTTTGGTAGCAGGATTTGTGGACAGCGAATGTGATGAACTATCAATCATGCATATTATGAGGATAGCGATTGTGGTTTGTCTGCTTGAGCGGACGCGACTATGCCTGCATCACAATCCACGTGACATTAACACATGACAGAGGCCTAGAATCGTACAGGAGAGGTTAGGTTAAAAAGCAGGTTATACCTATTTGGCCAGTCATACTAGGTTAGATCTCTATATCTCATCACGACTAAGATAAACTGGAGTTATTAGTAAGAGTACTCATTTTTAGTGCTGATCCTTGAAGCGAACCTAAATATAGTCTTTCTTTGTATGTAGTTAGGGTTGCATCCGGTTGGGTTGGGGCGGATTCTCGGCCCGCAGCACCCAGTCCGTCCGGGGTTGGGGGGCTGGCTGCGGGGCTGGCTGTGGGATTCGCCCTGAGTCCAGATCCGGCTCGATTAGGGTTAAATCAGTGTTCTCACAACTGTTGCTCTTTCAAGTTAGCGACTAAGATTTAAGAGCAACGTTATTTACAGGGACTATAAGGAGAATATATCTTCTCTAAACTAGATTTACATAACATTATCTATATCCTCAGGCATATACCTGAAGAATCGCTATATCGTTCAAATATATAAAGAGTATAGGCTGGGGATATCGCTCAGATCAAGCCCTCCCAAATCACCTTCCAGCTTTCTAGTGCAGTGACTAAGAGTATGTTTTGAACTTTTATGGTCTTGCAATTTTACGATCTTTCTATTCATGTTGGTTTTATCAAGTGTACTCATCTGACTTATCATTGCTACTATCCTAACCATAGCGTTGAAAGGAAATACTTCTATCAAGGACCAGCTGCAAATGTAATGCTGGGATATCACTCATACCGAGCCCGACCAAAATGCCGTTCAGTATTCTGTTGCAGTCGCTAAGATGTAACTCAACACAGATACCTTGTATGATTTCATCTAAAGGATGTCGCAGCAAAAGCAAAAGAAGACTCGGGGGCTTGCTTTCCATGCTTGATCAACTCATACTTCAGAGGATCCTCCGGATTGGGTGCATTGGGATATTTGTAGTATAGTCTCGGAGATCTGTGAAGAGCCACGTGGATAGGCAGTCGCACAGGCTTTATGAAGTTCCGTCGGTTAGAACAGGAGATTCAAGAAAGAAGTCTGGATATGCTGACCCTTCCCCAGCTGTTCCAGGCCATATACACCGGCTGCGGTGCATCCCTTTCAATATCGTCGCTCTTCTTTTTCCCTAGATGTCGGCGCATTGGCACGGTAATGGGAACCTGTGCAATACATCTGAATGTTTCCCGATCAGAATGCGCCGGTTCGGTTCGGGCCGAGTCATTGACCGGATCACCGCCCGGCCCGAACCGAGGGGTCAGCGCGTCTTCAGTAAATCTAGATTACAGATATACTTACTTCTTAAGTAGTCGCTATTAAAGTACTTAATCTCTAATCTTATCTAGTTTTAGATACTATTGAATCTTACGATATCCTGATACACTAGTCGTACAGAGCGTAACAGTGACCACTGTCTGTTTGTTTCACGAGCGTTATATTTGTAATTCTAGTAATCAATTCACAACGCTAAAACCCCATATGAATTCTTTGATCTCATGAAAGATTGCTGCAAGGATCGCTTGAAATAGCGGCAGAATACCCACTTTCCTGACAACACGTTGAGGGCCCAAGGAAGGCTGGAGTAGCTGACACCCCTTGACTGGATACTGACTGATTACACATGATACATGATTCGCCAACAAGTGCCAGCCTCGTATCCCCGCATGACCCAACTGAGACCTCCACCCTGCCTTCGACCCCGACCTAAAGGGCAACCATCACTCTGGCTCTGCCACCGCGTGACTGGTAAGAACCTCTCCCTCCCCCAAATCCATCTCCCAGGCACAGACCGACAGCTGCAAGGTACTTTCCCATGGGCCCAGCAGCAGAGTCGCTCCGCCAGCAATGGCAGGAGCCCTCCGACGTCTTCACCATCCTCCTGATCATCGGCGGCGACATCGTCCATCGAGCGCTAGGTGCCGTCTCCGGCGGCACCCTCACCCCAGTCGCCTTCTCCTACGGCTGGGTCGCCTACGCCATGTCCGCGCTGCTCTCCACCGCCGGCGAAGCCAGACTCCTGCCCCCCAGCCCCGTCCCGGACCTCGCCGTCATCAACCTCAGCTCCGGCTACCGCCGCACCAACCGCTCCTGGACCATCGGCCGCCTCTTCGAAACCTACGACAGCTGGATGCCCCCACCCGTCCGCGATCGCATCGCCCACCCAGTCCTTCCACCTCCGCCTTCCACCACCGCCGACGAGGAAGTTCAGCACCACCCGCCCGCCCCGCCCGCCGCCGCCGCCGTCCCGCTCTGCGTCGCCGTCTACACCTGGGCCGTCCCGCGGCTGCAGCCCGGCCGCACCGGCCGGGACTGGGTGTGGTGGACGGGGCTGGTGACGACCGCCGCGCAGCTGGGGCTGAGCGTCGTCCCCTTCGCGACGGCCGCCGACTGGCGCGTCTTCCTCCTCACAGCGGGCGGGACGGCGCTGGCCTACGCGCAGGGTGCACTGCCGCAGTGGCGGCGCGAGAAATGGGCCTGTCGCGCCGGGAACTCGGCCAAGCACGTCGCGCTCACACTGGGCAACGGCTCGCAGCACGTGGTTGTCGTTCTGGGCCACGAGCGCGGGCTGGACCTGGAGGATCTGGCGGGCGGGCAGGTGCGCGGGAGGTCGGCCCGGGGGACGGGATTGGTGATGGCGGCGTTGGCCGTGCTTTGGTTTCTCTTGCTTGTGACCAGCACCGGGATTGAGACGCACACGTGGTATCTGCTTGGTGTTGGGGCGTTGGGGCTGCTGCAGAACTTGGTGGTTGCGGGCGCGCCGCGTGCGCCCGCTATGCTGGGGGTGCCGATCGAGCTGGCGACGACTCGCCTCCCCGGCGGGGGGGGCGAACCGGCTCCGATGGTCTTTGCGGGCATGAAAGTCATGTTTACGCTCATGGAGCTGGAGATGGCGTACCCGGGGTTTGGGAAGGGGTTGCTGGGCGAATTCTTCCCGGGTCAGCTGCGTCCGTGGGAGACGGAGTGGTGGGCGAGCAGTGATGTGGAGCGGAGACGGGAGTTGTTGCGCGAGGCGAGGCTCCAGGAGTCTCTGCGTATGATGAAGCCTGGCAGGGGTAGCTGATTGTGCGGGCCCCGGCGTCGTTCGGCGTGCTGGAATCCCAAGGGTGTAAAGGCGGCGATGATGATGAGGTCGCGGGGCCCCAACAACATACCTAGGTAGGGACGCAAGTCGACAGTCGGGAAGCAACAAACCTACTGTTCAGCCGGTTCGGTCCCTGAAATGTATGTTTTGCTACGATCCACTACGGCCACGAGCGAGTGAATGATTGATTTGCACCAAGTTCACCACGAGATTGGAATTATTAACTGATGCGATGGCCCACAGACCTGCAGCGGACCTTATAATGATGTAGTAGGATTCCAACCATTCATCCCGAATTTGTTTCCAACAATATATAACTGAGGGTTCAAGACCAGGTGCTTTACACCTATCTGCAAGATAGGGCAGATGTCGACGTGGAGCTTGAGGAAAGGGGTCGAAGTGTGACTTGCCTGCCTTGGGGGGGCCACAGTGAGAGAGAGAGAGAGAGAGAGAATTGTATTATACTCAATTTTATCTCTATTTCCAGGATTCATCTAAGACACTGACGGCCAAAGAACCTGAATGAAACTAGTTAGCTTATATTGATAATATAGTCATAAGTATATAATAGTCTTAAGTACTTAATATAAAGATAAGAGAGGAGCAATACTAGTAGATTATTAAAGTCTTTTTATATAGAGCTAAAATCATACTCTTAAGTTTATTTTAAATTTAAAAATCTAGAACTGATTATAAAAAGAGAGATATAGTCTACTAGATGTATTTGAAAATTTTTAATATCATATGTATTTTATATAAAATATATTGTTATTTTAATAAGATTAAGATCTTTAATATATATCTATAGTCTTAAGATCTTTTAAAAAAGTGAATTTATCTAGATGTAATTACAAAAGTATTTATAAGATAAAAAGAGTATAAAGAAGGAGATACGTAGAGATAAGCATCTATAAGATTAAAAAAAAGTGTAAAGAAAACATGTGAAGATATATATCTGTGAGATTAAAAAGGAGTATAAAAAAATGAATATATAAAGATAGATATCTTCAAGATTCAAGAAGAATATAAAGAAGAAGACATGTAGAGACAAGTGTCTGTGAGGTTGAAAAAGGATAGATGGTGTTAGTAGCTTTAGCCCAATGAGAGTGACCAGTCCACTGTTCTGATTATGAGTAGAGTCGCGAAACTGAGCAAGTTGGGTAAACATGCGAAGCCTTCAGAATTTGCTTCTCCAGGAACTTCACCTGACGTCAATTACCCGGGCACTCTTACCGGTCTGGTCTGATAGAATTAGAAGAATAGAGTATGCAGTCAAGGATCATATTGTCACCCATCCCAGCTAGCTTGGCCCAATCTGACGTGCGGGGTAGGTAAACAGTTCCTCGAGGCTCACAGCAATGGGCAAGAAGAACTAAAGATGATCATGATTTGGTTTGCTTTGTTATACGCCTAGGAGTGGGATGACATGTATTATTTATAAGTTGAGCTGTTCCGTGTTGAACTTGAGGTTAGACTCTTTATATTGGCATCAGCCAGCTTAATTCAGAAAATGAAAGCCGAGGTTGCCCTGACTACTCTACAGCTAAGCCACCTCCCTTTGAATATCGGTTGCCCTATCAGTTCTTACCTACTGCCATGAGGCACAACCAAACACAAGTGCATTGATAATCCAAGCTTGCCGATCAGTGTAAGAATTGCATCAAACACCTTACATTCTGGCTGCGCGCATATGATTAAGGGTGCCCGGCACGTACACTCAACCGCAACAGTCTACTCGCCCATGCTATACATCCTATGTTTGCTATACATCCTATGTTCGGCCTTGTGCACCACCATTGGGTGCCCAATTCAGGGAGGGGGGTAAACGGAAAGATATTCAATTCAAGATGCATCCAATGGGGTCGAGTAGCAGACATCACATCCACGCCTCATTTCGCCGATAGGCTGAGAGTGTATCCTGTCATTTGTAGATGAGAAGCATCCCATTAGATGCCCCCCCCCCCTCCCCCCGAGGGAGACTGAGAGAACAGTCGATCTCTATCCGCTTTCCATACATCTCCATAGGCTGCCTCACTCTAGCCTATTTGTTGCCTTTGGGCTCAACTGGTTTCATCGGGCCATTCTTCCTACTCCCTGCACTGGAATGATCTCACCTGGTCAATGGTCGTAAGGAGAGCCGAGCTGATATCACTGGCGTCTGTCCCCGTTCAAATCCTAAATCATACTCATCCTCTTTGCAAGAACAGCCTCGCACTGCACAGCTCCGTTCTACCAGATATTCTTTTCGCTTTTTTCCACGTCTAACGTCACAGACAAAGATGGCGGAACCCAACCCCCTTTTCGTGCACGCCACTGAAAGCCCCTATGGAAGCACCATTGGCAGCTCTCCAGAGCCCGACAGGAGCATCTACAAGGCCAAGCAGATTGCCGATTTTATCCTGTGCGGCGTCAAGAATGGAAGGGACCTCAGGGTCCTTGACTCGATTGTTCGAAATCATGGCCTGTTTGAAAACTACCCCGTTCCATCCAACGTTCACAATCTCGACGAGATCTATTCGTTCAACTGCGTCCTTGCAGTTGCGGACCTGTATTATCAGTTTTGTTTCGAAAATCTCGCTACCGAGGCGATGCTGCCGGCCTACTATAGATGCGTCCACGCAGTCAACGCCCTGACCTATTACCTCCAGGTCCCGCACGGCGGGCAAAACCGGCTGCCGGCACCCGTGGCGCTGGACAAAGGGGAGCGCTGGAAGCTGGACCGCACGTGGGATATCTGCGTATGCCTGCTGGGCGCGATCAAGGTCTGGTGCGGGTTTGATCGGAAGTTGCTCATCGACGACCAGGCGATTGTGCATGACGTCCACTACCGGCGCGCAGCCACGAAGGCCGTGGATTTGATCCGCGCCCAAGGCAAAGGGCGCGTTTGCCCCCGGACCCTGGGCCTGCTGGTGCGCGAGGAGGTCCCGCCGTTTGTCCAGCCCATGCACCTGATCCGGAAGCTGCAATATGACCAACCGATCGAAGCGGGACGGTTCAACCACTGGGATTGCTCTGCGGATATATGCCGCTTTGATAATATGGATGGGCCTTCGCCCCTTCATGTTCCTGGGTGTGTGCGAGACACTTGCAACATCCTGAAACCCCTGGCCGCGAACGAGGCACAGTTTGACCAGGTTCTCCGCGGCCACATGCCGGCGGTGAATGTTGCCCCCTGGCCGGTGCAGCGCCAGGCTGGCTTTCGGGGGTGGGTGGGGGCCAGTCACCGGACGCTGGCGGTGTCCCATGTCTGGGGGGACGGCGTCTTTGGGACCAGGGACGAAGGGCTGAACCAGTGTGTCCACAAGAAGCTGGCCGACATCGCCAACTACCAAGGCTGCGACAGCTACTGGATAGACTGTGCGACAATCCCACAGGAGCCCCAGGCGACGCGCAACGCCATGATCCAAAAGATCAATTTGACGTTTCGAGAGGCGGGGACCGTGCTGTGCTGGGATGAGGGATTCGCCAACCTGGTCTCTAACGACCCCGACGTCCAACTGCTGTCGCTGATTATCTCTCACTGGCATCGCCGGGCGTGGACCCTCCTCGAGGGGAACAGAGCCAAACTGGACAACACGAAGTTCCTCCAGTGGAATAAAAGGACCCAGCCTCCATCACACAGGCTGTTTTCTCTAAAAGACACAGTCATATCTGCCTTTCAAGAAAACCGTGTCCCGCTATGGATTCAATCGGCACTGGTCGAGCTCCTGCCTTATAGCGATGCCACGATGTCGATGGGCGATCCGCCCAACGGCGGGGCCAGGATGTCGATGGACGCCGCCGGTCTCCTGCTCTCGGGCCGCCATGCGACCCGGTTAAACGACGCGGAAACCATCTGGGGCTTGTTTCGCCCCGCCGAGGGGCTGAACGGGGCGGGAGACATCAGTTTCGACGATCCGTACCTCTACGCCGGCGACCAAGTGGACGTCGCCTTCATTAGCTCGAACGCGGCTCGCCACGACGCCCTGGGGACCTGGAAGCCCGGGAGAACCAACGCCAGCGTCTGGGTCCGGACCGCGTACGGCGGCGTCAAGGCCACCATTCGACGTGATCGCAACAGGCAGGTGCTGGTGGGCGACTGGTGGTTCAAAGAAGGGCTCGCGGTGAAAGGAATGGTCGACTGGGGGGTTTGTGTGAAAGGCGTGGATGCCCGCCTCCAGGAGAGGCTGAGGTCTACGGAGGACCGTTACAAGTGTGCGCTTATCTGCCCCATTCTGCGCGCGGACCCGAGAAAATGTCCGCAGGAGGTCGTGCGCCGCCATTCCATCGACCCCATCCAGGGCTTTTTCACCACGAACGTCGCCATGCAATGCGCACGGGCCATCTTCATCACACAGCGCACCGACCAGGAGCCCTGGCAGTGGGGGGCGATTGTCAACCTGAAAGCTCCTGTGAGTTTTACTACGTCGGAGATGGGGCGGTTCGAAATTGGAACCTTTGCTTAGATGGTACTTTTTTTTTTTTTTTTTTTTT